AATCGTATTCCACTATTATTCTGTATGTCTTATAAATAGAAGACAAACTCTGACATATTAACAGGAAAACAGTGTCATTGGAAAACAAGTTGACGCCTTGGGCAGAAAGAGTAGCAATAGGTGAAAAAATAGAAAATATCTACTCAGCTTGTCAAATGCAAAAGATACTTGACACTGTAATTTATGCAAACGCTGCAAACTTCCATCTCTAGAAAACAAGCTTTAGATAATATAAGAAAACATTTATAAGATTTCTCTTTGCTCTTTTCTTCCAGAAAAGGATTACGAAAGAGTAATTAATTAATATAAGCCAGTAGTACATAAGGTATCGACATACCTTCTCTACTGGTGGATGCCTAATTGCATTCCCATCTCATATGATCTGGACTTAATTACATTTCACACTGCACTTATTTAGTGCTGCTCTCTTGCCAAACTAGCAAACAGGGAAAAGAAAATTTTCAAAGGCGCTCGTTGAATAGACGCTACTGAAGCGTGTCCATCTAATCAAGAAATGATAGATGACAATTATGACGTCATCAGTGACTTTCCAAGTAGATCGAGCTGGTCTTGTTTTTGATCTAAAGAGGGCATCTTAATTGGAAACGGGACGAAATATTATCAGCTCTTTTCCGTCAATTTACCGTTTGCTTCCCCTATCTTGGCAACATCTTGTGTCTTTTAGGATTTTATTACAAGATAGCTACGTAACATATAATATCAAAATAGGGGCTAAAACTTTCTTTCTTGGTCTAGCTAAATATAGCATGACCCTAGAATATCTAATATTACTATATTTTCACCTCATAAATCCTCAAAGCTCTTTACTGACTCATTTTTAGCCTTAATATTAATCCTCATTTTTCTTTCCATTCTTATATTCTTTTCATATCATAAATAAAATATATGAAATGAGCATTTCGGCCCTTGTTTTCTGACTGTCAAAGAGACACCTTTATATCATTTCATTCTACATGATTGACTAAAATTTAGAGATTAATGTAACTTTCATAAATTTATACTAATAATTCATAACAACATTTTGTAAGTGAGAATTTTGGAGCATTTTCTCACAACTGATGGATACTTTGAGCATCATTCTTGTCACGTGTACAAAGCTGGGAAAGACTAGAGCTAGAATTCGAATCGAAAATTGATTGATTCATTAATTATACAACAGGAATTCGCACCACGCTCTTTGAAAATATATATAAATTTATATATATATATATATATATATATATATATATATATATATATATATATATATATATATATATATACAGTATATATATACAGCATATATGCATATATTTATATATATATATATAGAGTATATATATTATTTTAATATAAATATATATATAGATATATGTAGATGCAATAATGTTATATAATATTATTTAATATAATAAATGTGACTTAATACGTGTTATTTTTTAAAAGAATGAACATTTATCTTCTTTATTTAGTTTCGTCTCTATTTAGTTTCGTCTCTATTTAGTTCTCTGCTATTTTCATTTTATCCTTGAAAAACTACCGCAAATGTAGATATAGCTTCTCAGAGAATCATAAACATAAATTATATAGGTATATGTTAAATAGAGTGACTTGTGAATTTATACACTATATATATCTAAATATATGCACATATGCGGTATATATATATATATATATATATATACTATATATATACATATATATATATATATACAGTATATATGTATATACCAACAAATTCTTCAGCCCACAGCTCTGCTTCTACAATTGCATTTGCACAATCAAGCTAGCTTCGTTTGACAACTGTGCTGGCACGTTTGTGTCTAGTTTGTCGCTGATGACAAACAAAAGCCGTACTGGGAAGGGGCTATTATTCAAATGGCCACCAATTCATCACTTGCGCAATAAACTTTCCGATCGATCTGGATGGTAATTACTTGTATAGCGTGCGGCTGTATATTTAGATACATAATTAAGCCTAAAAATGAATAAATAGAGTCTATCAATGCTTAGCTTTCGTCTTCAAGGAGTATAGAACCAAAATACGTAATTTGAGTCACATTTGTTTAAAAATCAGTCTATTAAATTAAAATACTTCTGTCTAAAAATATAAGAACTTGATTTCTAAGAAAAAAATTAGGCCATTTCTAGTTTAGAAGTTGAATTACGTACATTGATAAAAATTTTTTAGTACATAAGAGCTTTCTCTCAGAATTATAAACGCAAAAAAATGAAATAAGATAGACACCCTCACTGTTTTTTTCTATTTATATGCAGTATACATTAGTGTGGAATATGCGAGCAGAGAATATTTTTAGAGGATGGCTTGTACTTGAAAATTTTAATTTAAAAGTTTTTTTTCATTATTGAAAATTAAAATTAATATTTAATGAGATGTAATCAAAAATAATTTTGTCTTTGAATTTTTCAATAATGATAGATAATTATTGCCATTTGGTAAATGTACTATTCGTCTAATCTTTCTCTTAAAGACTATGCTTTGAAAAGATACTGTTGCTTTTACGAGTACGGTATCGGTTAAAAAGGATCGATTGATACATCGATAAGTATTGTATAACCATCATAGTATACTCTATCAAATTTCAAAATACAACGTGATTGATTGTCTATTAAAATTGCATCCTATGATATTAAAGAATAAAAAGCTTGATATTAAAAGAATAGATCTTATATTCAAACACTCGTTTGTCTGGAGAAAGATGCGATCATCTGTCATTTGACTGATGCGTCGCCTGACTGCTAAATTTCCTCTTTGATTTATGCATAGCGAAAAAAAATTTGCCTCCACAAAACCGAATCAACCGACTTAACGAGCCGCCGGGAAACGACATTCGTTCCATAGTAAAAATTCTCCTTTTTCTTCGTTTTCCAAAGGAATTGTCATATTGAATTTTTAGAATAGTCACCTACTTACTTAATAAAAAAGGTCATAACATGGACTTTTTCTGGTAGTTGGAAAATTCTCTTCCATGAGCTGACTACAACAATTACCCGACGGTTTCTTAACCTCTACTCTAAAGTATGAATTGCATGATTTATATGACATAATTTTATTAAGAGTCTATAAAACTCAATAGATTAACGTAAGCCTATTCATTATGACTGCATCGCTCTGATGTCCTCCAAATATATACAACAATTAACGTCATGTCAGAGTAAGGTAGATACAATATCAAAAATGAAAGAATAAAGTGAAACATTAGCTTAAACTAATCTGTTAATATAGCTTTCTTCCTGTGTATTCTCCATCATCAATTAGCAATTTATCTTCATCCGCACACAATTGGATAATTCTTCTTTAGTTTACCCTCTAATAGAAAGCACATATAGCCTAAAGAATCCCACTATAATTCGCTAACCGGAAAGCAATAAAAAAATGGAATGTTCATATCAATCTTTCCAATTTTGGACTCTATGGAACCATAGAAGATCATCAATGAATCGCTAAGTGCAAAACGTACCCTTGTTTTGCACCTATATTAATTTCTTCGTTGATCTTCTAAATACGTGACTCATTAAAATAGTCATATCGTCCATTTAGTTGATGTATTATTGTTTGTCATATGCGAAAAATGAGAATTATGATGATTAAGTTTGACGTAAAAATGCATTACTTATAATTCGTGACGAGCCTGATGTTTTTTTTCCCGTTATATTTTTTCATAAACAAATAAAATATCCGTCCAGCCAGAAAGTCTACCGGCTTTGAAACAGTAATTTTGTTTCCTATTGCGTAATGGATTTTCTTTATATAGACATTTACGGATAGTTACTCATAGAAATGCAAAAAATAGGTATTCATTCATATCTTATAAACTAAGCTTCAACTGTTTATATATTAAATGTAATGCTTTAAAAATCTTTTTTTATTTGCTTTCAACTCATCCTTTCTTTCTGTTTTTGTAATTTTTTTTATATTTGCGCATATAATTTATATAAACTATATAAATCCTATATATAATAAAAAGAAAAACACTATAAAAAATGAAAAATAAGCAAACTTTTTTCTTGTTTGACTCAAGTGAAATTAGGGAGTAAACTTAGGGGTCATATTTTCTGACAAATTATAAACCTTTAAATAAAAAAAAACTTGTTTTTGTATCTTATTAAAGGTTTGTCTATGTACTACTAATATACTGTATATATATACTATATATACAGTTAATGTCTATATTAAAATATTAACTATATAAATATATAATTTTTAATACAAAAAACAAGTAAAAACCTATAACAGATAATTTTATTAGTCCTATTTTTCTAATGAAAGTTTTTAATGAGTATTTTTTCTATCACATTTTAAATACCTTTATTCTCAAATTTACAAAAAGTTTCGTATATTATCATATAAATTTATATATATATATATACAGTATATAATATATATATATATATATATTCTACTATATCCAAATAGACGCTGTTTAATTGAAATATAAGTACATTATAAAGTCACGCGAACCGACATATTACATAAAAGTATAAATATCTTCGTCTGTGTGTATCTCTACTTACATAATTATCTACAAATTGTACCGGAGTATTAATTCTATCATATTTTTAGATGCTTCGGATGAATTCGAAAGAGAAATGAAGTTCTTTTGAAATATTTATAAAGACTTAATTTTTTTTTAAGATATTATTATCTCAACCATTTAATTAGCATTAAAGAGAAACTCTAATTAGATGATGATATCTAAGGACAGAAACATCTTGTATTATAATTATGATGGCTGAAAAGGTGACGAAAGAATTTACTACGACTTTTGAAATACAAGCCACTTTAAGAATCACGCACGATTTTATGATTGGAGTTTGAAAGTGTTTTTGTAAGTTGGGTTATGACAAATAAGCTGAATTGTAATCAAGCGTATAGAAGAGGTAGAAAGAAAAGAAAAAAACAGCCTATAACTCCTGAATCACATACGCTTACCCTTTAGCTACACAATACAGAAAAAATACATAAGTTTCACACTTACCACGAAAGTAAGTTAGAAGTTGCCCGATTAGGACGAGAGGGTAAATGTACTTCATCTTCTCTCTTCATCCTCCTTCATTGCCCCTTTTTGCTGCTGTCGTGTTCTGTGCAACAAACAGCATCCATCATCTAATTTCAAAGTTTATTAATGTATATTGATTTGTCTACAGCTCATCAATAGCCCGCGTTCCATCGCGTAAAATTCTATTATCTGCTCTACTTTTACTATTTCGGTAAGGGTTGCAGAAAGCGTTTTTATGGCTTCTTTCACTTATACTTTACCCTTCCATCTACTAAAAAACTAAAGAAAAAAGAAATTTTTCGAGTAATTGAACGCAGTTTCTTTCTTTACTCTTCTATTTTACCAAATCAACTTAATCACTTTATTTACATTTTATTATTAATAACAAAGGATTTCGTACAAACGTTATAAATTTATTAACAAGTTAATAAATTATTTTTATTATATAATTATTTTTAATAATTTAATATTTCTTTTGTTTCTTCTTTTTTACAAAATAAAAATATTTTACTGTATAATAAAAAATTTGCTCTCCGTTTTTATTGTACAATTTTTTATTGATAATTAATATCTATTTTGATATTATTTACGAAGGTCTTTTATAATTTTCATTCATTTGAGTTATATCTAACAGATGTGTTTATTAAAATTCCTCCAACATGATTATTTCCTACATTAGTATAGTATGAGAAAATACGAGCTTTATACTAAAAATAAATATACTGGCAGATATAAAATGTTTTCTACATATCTATACCTTGGCCTATAAATACTGGGAACATGTGCTAATACTTGATACATATACAGCAAAAAACAGATACTAATCCGATCATATATCATTCGAAATTAATAAAATACTTAAAATTCTCCTTTTCTGATTAGAGATATAGGCGTTTAGATAGTATATAATAATCGTATTCGATGTCAACAAAAGTACCATCACGACTTCTCAGAAAGCCTTTCATAATGAATACTAGCTTATATTCGTTTACATATTTTGACGAATTGAACTACGGATGGACATGACATTAACGTAATGCAATTTATGTTGAGTTGTTATAACTATTCCAATGCCTGTTAGTGAACATGCTTATACTGCTAATTTCATTATTAAACGAAAAAACATATGCATATCCTGCAGTTTCGAAAATACTAAAAGAAAAGATATTATATTAATTATAAAAATATTGGGTGCACGGAAAATATACCTCATTTTAGTACTTGATGCTAATTAAGGAATTGATAGAACTCTATAATTTTAAGGTAAACTAGGAGAGTAGTTTATTGTTCCAAACTTACATTTATTTGTTCTCTTAGTATATGGATAATGCTCCTTAATTGCAGAAAAGCACTAGTAAATAGTTTGAATACAGTATTCAGTACACTTAATTGTTTGTTGTTAAAAGAAGAACAGAGAAAAATAAAAAATAAACCGAAAAGAATAGGGCTGGTCTGATTGATTTCCTTTCCTAAATGAACTTCGCATTTATTACAATAAATAAGTTAAAAAAAAGCCGATTTAACTTCTTATGTACTTAAGTATTTGTATTTCATTTATAAATCCTATATATTTAGCTTAGTCTTATACATTTTCGTATTACAGTCTGTTTTTCTCAGTTAATATCTACACACACATGTATATATATATATATATACTTTATCTATTGTACAAGCTAAAATATTGCAAAAATTCTCTTAGTCTATCAATGCTAACTCTCTCCTATTTCAATCTTATTTGGTCAAGTCAAATAGTAGATATCTCCTACACGTTGTAAATTCAATAAATTTACTAATTTATTTGCTTATTATAACCTACAAAAGGACTTTTTTAGACTTTATCATTCAGTCTGTCAAAGAATTCGCTGTGGCTATGTTAAACATTAGTCTGTTATTACAGCGTCTAACGTTTACATAGACGCTTCAAATTAAGGAAATATATTAAATATAGCTGCAGATGGCCTCTTTTTCTTTCCTTTGTAACGATGTCATTGGGTGCAGGAAGTTCCAAATTATAATATTAGGAGTGTAAAAGAATAATTTGTTACCGCAAAAATTTATAGTAAATAGCCTAAATATAGACATGAAAAAAAGACGCTTTATGATAGAAACGTCGATTGCCAAAAAAAAAATCACCAACGACGATGGTATATTCAATATGCATAATGCGTAGCCACGACTATCCCTGGGTGACGGCACTCATGTTTCTTGTAACGGCCCAAAACGACGTTTATACGCTTATTGATGACACCTCTGTCAACGCGCCGTCTCTTGTAAATTGCCACCTGTTTCCATGTCTGCCTTGGACAGTTTTTTTTCGAGAGTCTAAGTGGTCATGTTTTTTCTCACTGATTGCATTCCTATTTCCTATTAAGATTAAACATTTGATGTATAACGAAAAAAAAACTTGTCAATCTCCAAACTTTTTTGGGTATAGTTAGAAAATAAAAACGTGGTACTTAACAAAGTCGGCAGCGGACCAGAAGTATAATGTTACTTCTTCCGTGAAATATGTTAATTTCGCAGATTTTCCGCAAAGCAAAGTCGACTTTGCCAAAGAATTTGTATGTAACAATTTAAAAAAATATCACTTCAAACTTTATCTAGAGTCAATATTATCTTTTTCAGTAAGCTCTATATCTTACTTTAATGCTTCAGCTATTGGAATTAAATTTAAATCTATTTAAGGATAATTTTTTTATTTTATATTTCATTATCAATTATTTATTAAAAGTAAATTCAAATAATTTCCGAGAAAATTAACGATTAACTTCAAAATTTCTCCTACTCCTTCGCCTCCTCTCTTTGTCTTGATTTGTCGATATTTAAAAAATTTAAGGGAAATAGGAGTGAAAAGGGGATGGGAAAATGGGTAGGCGCCTTTCGTAACGTGTGATTAGGGTTACTTGAGAATTTTTTCCATTTCCTTATTCATGAGAGTTGACTCAACAGAAATATATTCATTGAAGGGAAGAAGAAAATAAGTCAAATATCAATTAAAAAACGATGACCAGGCCCTCCTAACCTACTTCCTTCGTCAAAGAAAGATCTAAAATTCTATTTTATAAATCAACATTTAAGGAGCCTTTTTGAATTTCTATAAAAGCAATAAAAAATTGATGAATGCTTCCTAAACTACTGTAAAAATGCAGTTGTATTTATGCACTTTTCTTTTCTCGAATGAATAGTATTGAAAAACGGAGCAGAAACCTAATTCAATTTATAAATGAACGAGAATGAGAGTCCTTGTGTATAATTTCAAACTACGGAAAATTTTTTTTATTTCTTTTACAGTAACAAGCATACAAATTTATTCCGTCTTCAAAACCTTTAGATTCACACCACTGCCCAACTGATCACGTGTTTCACTTAAACCAATCAGAATGCGAAATGCGCAGATGCTGCCGTTTTCATTCAGTCTTTTGGGAGTTTCATTTAATTGCTGTGCACTTTTAATTGGCCTACGTGGTCGCTTTCTTTACTATAAATATTTTTAATGCGAATACAGTTAACTAAAATCAAATACTCTCTTAAAATGTAACTTTTATTTCCCATTGAATATTTAGAAGTATAGTTATAAAGCCTACTTGTTTTCTTTTCTTGAGTAAACAGAACAGTACCAAAACATTAATTTCTCCTTTCTTTTTGTATTTCTAAGCCTCAATAAAAGTGGAACTTTTCTACAGAACACCGTCCCGTTGACCCAAAGCAAATACTTTATTTAAATATATTTAAGTAATATTTGCCTTTTAGTATAAAGCGAAAGATCCTAGCAAGCTATTTTACAATCGATTTGTAAACGTGCATTGAATGAACGTATCAATAAAAAGTTTTTCTTTATTTTTTTACTTACCAGAACCATTTGTTGAACTTCAACTTTGTTATCTCTTATATCTTTTATCAGTAAGACGATGTCCTAAGATCTTCTAAATTATTAAACAGCTTTCCAATGGCAATAGCTGAAAGTGATGAGCAACTTTCTATAGTCGGACAACTTAGAAACGCATTCGACTGCAAATCTGAAACAAATATACGCGAAGGGTTCGATATTCTAGCGGCAGGGGGCGTTCTAATTCATCGCTTATAGTCTATTAGTTTAACGAAGAAGGTTTTTTTTTTCCTTTAAATGCGTAGCTTGGACGTCCTTCGGTGAAATATGTTTATCAATAACTCTGGGTTAACAAGTGAAATAGAAGAAAATATGATAACATAAATTTTGGCTAGACCATTAACGCTGCATTGCGGCCGCATAAATTTGCATATCATTTTAGGGATGTTTGAGTATAATTACGGGCAGGAATAGATAGGATTCGCAGACAGAAATCTTAACCGAAAGCAGTTGTTTTTATTGCAAACCAGCAAAAACAGACGTGGCAAAGTCCTTCCTGTTTGTTGGTCGAATTAGTATAGGAGGCAGTAAACAATTATAGTTTAACTAGCAAACTAATAGAAAGGTCTAAAAATAGGCCTATTAGTCTATACATTCTTGTCAATTTTATCTTTGATTACATGCTAGACACTTTGATTGATAGCGTTTCTCTTGATTGTCTGTGTCAAGTGATGTTTGCTTGATCGTCGAGCTCATTCCGGCCTCGTTGGCCTGGGATCGAAGTTCGTCTATGTAACATTAGTTTTAGTCACGTGACAAACTCTTTCACAAAAAGCCTAACCAGATTTCGGACATGGTGTACAAATTCTCAAGGTAAAGTAACTTTTTCAATAGAACGGTTAGGTCATTATAATTTCTCGTCAACTGCATTTGAAAGTAGCTTCAATGTGTCGTTGACAAAAACTGGTTACAAGAGAATGAAAAAAGTCATGAGGTGGAATAAGAGGAGCTACAAACGCTTATTGCTCTAAATTACCTTCGCTTTCGGTTATTTAGGTTGTCCGTCATGAAATTTATCTATATTTTTATATGCAACACACTGATTAAACGAGGCTTATCCTCATCTCACACCTGAGACTTGCCAGTGTCTCTCATTAACTTTAGCATTAATCGACAACGTGTTGAAGAAAAGCTGATAGTGAACGGTCATTTGACATTTGATGATATGGTGTACATTCCATATTCAAATAAAGGATAAAAAATGCAGGCTGTGAAGAAGAAACAATGCCCTCCCTTATACAGTAAAGCATCCCCTTAGGCTATTCCTGTAAAAATAACCTTACGCTAAGTGTTTGTCCTAAACTGTACTATTGCAGTATGTTCTTACACGGAGTCCTGCGCTTGTTGTGTAAAGTACTGTACTTGACACTTTTGCATTTTACTTCGAAATTAATTAGTCCTAATTGCCTTTTTTTTACCTAGACGAAAGCAAAATCGGTTTTAATCGAAAGGAAGACTCTTCATCTTTCCATCAAAGCCGCTATACAGGCTTCTCTTCATCGCTTCGCCACTTAAATTTGATGCAGTCTATTGCAGTTTCTAATTTCGTGGTGATTGACTATCGAACAGGCCGGTCGATTATCCGTATTTTCTATTTGATTCGTATGAATTTTTCATCTACGTTGAATAATTTTTCACCCTTTTTTTCTTTAATTTCATTTTCCCATTTCCCTTTTTTTTCCTTTTTCATATATGCACTCATCATTATTTATAATCTATTATAAAGTATAAATGTTAGGTTTCTTCATTTCCCCTTTGGGGTAGAACGCCCTGATTTAAGCGTATTTTGTTGCAAATGATCCCTAAATTTCTTTATTTTTTCGTTTATGGACTTATTTCCTTTCTCAGCCAACACCTTCGGCACTTTTTGACTTCCTCCTTTGTCATCATTTTACTTTTCCTCAAAACTTTTAACCTCACTGACCAAAATAGAAACTTTACTCGAACACTATTAAAAGATAAGATTATTTTCACCTTTCAAAGTCTATATGTAATTAGTTTAAGGTCTAAAATTTCTTAATAAACTTAAGAATATTTCACTTAAAATCGACTGCGCAGCATACATCTAGTTTAAGTACATTAATATTTATAAATTCATAATAAATATATTATATCTATACATTTACGGATAGCTAATTATATGGTCTTTTAGAGGAGTAAATTAAAAATATGCTAATTTTATCAAACAATACATTTTGAGCAATTTTTATATTTTTCTCTATACTACCTATTTATTATTCATTTTATCAATTACATCCCATTATTAAAGGATTCTTTCAAGTGCTGTTACATTATATAACACAAAGTTCAATTCGACGCAATTTAGACGCATCTATATAACAAATAGTAAATAGTAAGAATGGTTTTTATTTATTTTATCATACATATGAACAACTAAATACAGAAGCCTTTTTTTCTTTGAAGATTTCCGGCTTTTATCTTCATTTGATTTAAAAAATCTAATTACTTTTTCATTTCTTATATGGAAAACATAGAAATGTTCATCCTCTGTATACGTATTTAAACTGAGAAATTTACGTTATTATGCCGAACCCAATAGTTAGAAAATATTGCCTTACTACCATAACAAACTAAGTACTATGTTAGACGGCACAATCTAATTATAGGAAAAGAAAGAGGGAAGAATAAAAAGAAAAAGAAAAAGACAGAGATATATAAGGCAGAGAAAGAGAAAGAGAAAGAGAAAGAGAAAGAGAAAGAGAAAGAGAAAGAGAAAGAGAAAGAGAAAGAAAGAGAAATAGAAAGAGAGAGACAGAAAGAGTAGGGAGAGAATTTCTTATTTTGTATCGATCAGCTATTACTAAAGCATAATAACCAATTCTAGGTGCTTCGTTAAATCGTCAGATTTTTTCCATTATCTCCCCTCTTATTCACCTAAATTAGCCCAAGCTTTAGCCAGCTTTTTACTATCTACTTTAGCACGTTAGCTTAGAAATAAGATGTACTTGAATCAATGTAATAATTACTAGGATTATTTTCCATAAAAATATTTTAATTAACAATCTAGAAAGGACAACAAATAAGTGTTCTGACACGAAGTACGTGCACAATAGTCAGAAACCATCAAAAGGGGAAAAAAGAGAGATTGGAGGATGATTTGTAAAAAAAAAAATAACATTTTAGTCACACGTTTATGTCATATTTTTTTCGTATTTATTTTACTTTGTTTAAACTTGATTAACAGACTTTTAAGGACATATGTGTCCGTCAACGAAAGAGTATTTTGATCATTACAGCCTTTCCAGTATTAAATCGAACATTTTTTTCACTAGTCGTACATAACTGCACACTGCAGTTTTCAGTACATTCCATATTAAATATATACAGTTCATACACTAAAAAAATGCATGTACATATTATATATAATTCTTTTTATGTTCGAGACGAAATAAAAGGATTTTTGTGTGGGGGAAAAACTGACAAGCGTTACCCAACTGCGAAATGAGATGTGGCCATCGAATACTCCCCTCTCTCTCCATTCATAATTATTTCAGTTTGTAGGTAATTTCAATGTAATTGTTCAGTGTAAATACAAACAAAAAGGAAAATCTTTTTAAGAATTGTAGCTTGTTAAGGGTTGCCAGAGGCATTTACATTTATATAGATGCTTTTATGACCTACTAACGAACGTTTTGTACGAGTTTGCTATTGATGATAATAAAGAACGAAAAGAGTGCACGGAATCGCGTGCATTTCTCTATAATTAGCGAATTTCTTAAATATGCCGTGCTGCCATCTTTTGCTAATTAAAACCTTTAATAGAAAACTTCCTATCCCCAAGAAGAAAACATTGGAATCTTTAACAAAGGTTTTTTACTTGGAAAGTTTTTTTTCCATTGCTTTAGAGGCTTAGAATTAAAAGTCTTAAGAAATATGCCACCTTGCTTTATTATCTATTTATATCTATTAATAAATATTTTTCATTTAATGATACTATATTTTTTATTTATTCTTGATTTCTTCTGTAATACTATACGCAAAAATAATACTCTACCCTAGATCGTTCGAAGGCTACTTTTCTTCTTTCCGAGTATGCCATAGATATGTCCTATATTAGCTATTTTAGAGTGTATATAACTGAACATCCAAACAGTAGAAGGCCAAAACTAACAGTGCTTGATTTTTTTTTTCATTGGAACAAGATGGATTTTGGAGAGAAAATTAAAAGTGAATTTTTATTAAACAAAGAAGTAATCTTCCTTAACCATGCAGCTTATCCCTCGCTACCAAGGGACGTTTTAGAACATCGTTTAAAGTGAGAATCCTTTTCGGTGAAAGTTTATTTTTCTAAACTACTTAAACTATTAGATATATTAAAGATATTTACAGTATATACACAGTATAATCTTATGTATGTATGTACATCATAGAGTATGCAGTATATATACTGTATATAGATATATTAGTATATATATATATATACAGTATATATATTAATATATTTATGTATATAATATACAAAGTATATATATATATATATATATATATATAAATGAGTTTATAATATATAGTACTTATAAATCTCCCTTCAAAGGTTAATCAGAGATCAAGAAAGAGATCCGGAAAATTTTTTCCGAAAGCGAATATTCAAAATGCACAAAAATCAAGTTGATTACATAGCTCAATTTGTGGCGACTGATGCAGAAAATTTATGTTTGACTGAAAGTACTACTCATTCGATAAATAGTATACTAATGTCGGTCCCTTTGAAGGCTGGAGATACCATTCTGGTTTGTTTTAAAAGATTGTTTGAATTAGCATGATACACATCTATCTTTATATACTCAGCTACAAACTTTTACATTTTCGGCTACAAGAAGAGCTACCGAAAGAATTGCGGATTTGAGAGGGCTTAACGTTATCAGTTTGGATATTAAATTGCCTATTAAATCTATAGATGAAATTTTAAATCTGTACGAAAGAAGTTTAAATGAAAATCCTGGAATAAAATTGGTTCTCGTAGGTTAATATATATTTTAGATTTTTGAAATAATCCTTTAACTATTGAAAGACTGTTTTCATATGTAAAGATCATATATCAAGTTCTGTTCCAATCTTGTGGCCGATAAAACAATTGGTGAATTTATGCAAATCTAAAAATAGAATAGTAGTAGTCGATGGTGCCCATGGTCCAGGACAAGTTCAATTGAATTTAGATGATTTAAACGCTGATTTTTACACTGGGAGCTTGTATAAATGGAATTTTGTTCCCAGAGGCTGTGGACTTTTATACGTAGATAAGAAGTATCATAACTGCTTCTCAAATATTCATACATCCCAAAGGTTTGGTAGTAGGCCTTTTCAAATACAATTTATTTTTTATGGTACGAGGGACTATTCACCAATGTACTGCTGGGATTCTTCACGAAAATTTATTGATAAATGCGGAGGAAACGTATGTGTATTCTTTTCATTTTTTTGTATATGTAAATGAGTTTTCCATTATGAAAAAATCTATTTAATATTCTGTCGGAGCGAATTAGAATCTTCTAACAATCAACCCGAAAATCCAATCAATAAATTATAAATAGTTCTCTTGTTTGTATTACTATAGCCATCCAATGCAAAATTTCATGCATATTACTGTATATTCCTAAAATAGATGGCGCATGTTTTACATGATATAATAACGCCACCTGTCGAACAAGCTTTATTGTTAATAATTGTATTTTATCCCTTTCAGAAAAAGATAGACGAATATAATAAAACATTGTTGAGAAATGGTTGGCAATTGTTGGTAAAGGCTTGGAAAACTGATATTTTTAATGTTCCAGATGATATGAGAGCACCAAGTATGACATTAATAAAAGTCCCAAAACTGAGTCGATTTAGCGCAGAAAATTCAGTCGAATTTGAGAAAAAATTCCGAGAAAAATTCAACATTGAAGTTTTTGCTGTCTATCTTTATGGGGAATTTTGGTTCCGGCTCTCCGTACAGATTTATAATACTTTAAAAGATTTCGAAATTTTAAGAGACTCTATAAACTCTCTTTTATGAAAATAGCCCCTTTTCTGCCAGTGAATATACAGTGAAGTTAGAATACTGTAGTAGGTCACGAGTATATTATTATAGATAATATTTCGATTACAACAAATAGAAAAATGAAATTTTATTATTTTTTAAGTTTATTTAAGCCAAGGAGTTTTACTTGTAAACCTTTACTTGATGTTTTCATTCAATATTATGAAAACTATTATACATAGTCTTTTTGTTTACTAAATTACATATACCATATATATGAACTATATACTAATATATATTTATATACATAATTTTGCATTATAAAGAATAAACATACAGTATTTGCAATCGTATAGGTAAAATATTGAGAATTTCTTGAAAATGAAACAATTTCAACTCATACTCTATACTTTTCTCTATTCGTTCTTCCCAGTAACTCTTCTGTCATAAGATAGTTCAGCTATCTTTACAAGACTAGATTTTTTTTAATTACATAGGTGTTTTGACTCTTTCTTCTGTTTTATGTAGGAAGTTAATAATGCAATGTGAAAACTAATAGAATATCTCTTTTCTTTTTAATATCGAAATTTAAATCTTTTAACATTCAAACTAATTTGGATATACCTGGAATCTTAATAAAATGCCTTTAACCTATTTCACTTAATAAGACTAAATTAGCCTTGAACCACGAGCGATTTGCCTTATTAACGGCTTTAATTTGTCAAGAGAAAATTTTGCAAGCTTGTTTGCTTCTCTCACAAACTGTTCCTTAATGACTGTCTTATTTTTCTTTTATCATTATATTTGGCAAGAGAATTTTCTGGTCATTTTCCAAGTTTTTCTTTTTAAAGTATTATATTTTGTATTGTTTAATCAAAGCATACCAAACTACAGCAAGTTTTCATTCTTTCTCTTTATCTTACTATCATGTGTCAAAAATATCTACGTATGACATTTATATTAATGTTAACGAAATGTATATCAAACGATTAATAGCATCTTTTTGCTCACTAAAGCGCCACCTAGATAAACTTGGAGTCGGTGAAATTTTTCACATTTATACTAAAAATCGAACTTTGAGGACAAAATAATAAAATGACCAAATTAACTTGCGTCATTCTTATTTTCTTAATCGTTTTTTGCATCGGTAAGCTAAGAGAATAGAGTAATTAAAGAAATTATGACAAACGAATATTGAAAACTATCTAATTTCTTATACTTTTTATTTTTACAAATATTTTAGATGTTTTTTAAATATTTATTTGTATTTATATTTCTATTTCAAGTTTTTCTTTGCTACAAAATTACATTATTTTTATTTGCTTAGGCTAAAATCTACTTTTCCACTTCTTTTAGTTTCCTATATCCCTTTATTAGTTTTATTATAAGCTGCAAGAGTTGAGTTTTTTTTACGAATAATATACAATAAGCATGCTTCAATCATTAGAGGTTCTTTCCTTCTTCTTATATACTTACTTTTACTTTTTTACAGTTTATATTGCGGAATCCGCTCCTGTTGAAGGCCATAAAGGTTTATTTAAAGCTTGGAAAAATCTTGGCCTCAGAGGTTTGTACTGATGAATGATATTTTTAAGTGATCTCTTTAGAAATTGTTTAATTATACAAATGAAAAACAAAATCTTTGATAATGGAAGCAAACTATCTTTTAAAATTTAGTGTAACTTGACAAATTAAATTAACAAGGTGTTTTGAGTAATGATGATATTCTATCTACGATTTAATTACTGTGATACATACAAGCAATACTCAGATATAATTTTCTTAGTTTCTATCATTTATTTAAAAATTGACTGCTGAAATTATGCTGTCTATTAATCAATCAACAAGTCGTTCCATTTTGTTATATTTAGAGACAAATTCTCAATAATTTCATTTATCTTTATCTAAAGAAGAGCTAAATATGGTTCATAGCTTATCTTAATGTTATCACTCTTCCTAATAAATTATTCTTATAAAAACGATCAACAAATCGTATTATTAGTGAGATTAATAGAACATCTGTTTGTTATCAACAGCTAGCAAACGACAAAATCCATTCTTACGTAATCCGAACGAAAATTTAGACGAGGATATGATCAACTTTATTCGTTTATTGGACAGAATTGGTTAAACAGGATGATGAAAAGCTGATGAAAAATGAAATATAAATGTAGTTCTCTCTGTACAAGTCGTTTAACTCAATAAATCAAACGGAATGCCTGTAAATAGCCAAAAAAGTATTAGGCTTCTACATCAAAACTACTAAGTCTGCAAAAGTAAAAAGCCAATAGAAGGGGCGTACTTCCTTAGTTTATAGAAATGTACACTTTTGTATTTATGAAATGCAATTTCTTCATTTCAAAACCAAAAAAATTACTTTTTTTCTTTATTTCTTTCCTCTCGTACCTCATCTTCTCTTCTAATGTCGGTTACAACTTCCTATGGTCAACAAAATAATTCGCTAAAATTAGACTAATTACTAAATTTCATAATCAGATAAAATTTTATTTTGGCGCTCTTAAATTTCTAACTTTCTTGTTTTTACTCTTCTCAAATGTTATAAATATATGTTTTCATTTCTGAAAACCAGCATTGGAAAATCAGAGGCTGTATTATTTGTTTTTCGGAACGCTATTAATGAGGGTTGCAAAGCGGGTGAACCAATATAATCATACTTTAGATGAATAGATATTTATACTTTTAATATAGACAAGTTACGTATGATAAAAACTTCAAAAAGTAAACTTCTAAAAGATTTTAGTACAGACAAACCCTTAACAGTTTCCTGTTCAACTCTAGTAGAAATAAAAAAAAACCAACGGTCATTACTTTTTTTGCAGCATTTTCTAAAGAAACATCAAATACAAATATACCTAAACTGGCGAAAGAATAGAATAATAGTTAAAAAATGAGATAGAGGTGTAGAGAGAAAGAGAGGGGATTGAGAGGGTTAGAGAGGGAGAGAGAGGGGAAAGAGAAAGGAGTGAATGAGTGGGAGTGGGAGTGGGAGAGAGAGAGAGAGAGAGAGACCGAGAGGGGGAAAGAATTCTAAAAATAAATTTTTTTCTAATGACAATTTTCAGTACTCTTTTTTAAAGTGAAAAACAACTATCAGACAATAAAAAGTCTTCTCTTCTTTTTCAGTAAATTTATCTTTTTATTTGTCTTTGAGAAATCTTAAAAAACTTTATAAGGTAAACTAAGAGAATTCAGATTTTTATAATACCATTTTTAAAATATTTTATGTACATTCAACTGTAATTACTGTAAATCATAAGCTATGAAGAGCAAAAATGTAAATAACTATTACGGATAGAAAAGGTAATCATTAATGAAAAAAGAAATGCTATTCTTTCGACATGTGCGATGATTATAAGGGAAATGCGAGATTAGTACATTACATACGCAAAATGCTCGAACAGTCTTTTTAGTGCGTTGAATTCTAAAGAGTAATGTTATGAATCTTTTTAAATGAGCATTAGAGTTCTCATCCCGTTTGCATAGACTTCAATCGATTTTTTTGCATCATTCCAAAGCTTCCATATTCTTTTGCATGTTGGTTAAAGGCTAAGGAAATGAGTGCAATATTTTAAAGGAATAAGTCAATTTCGAACTACGCAATATTTCTTTTATAACTGATGTTAACCAAAACTATCTGTACATATAGAAATATAATCATTGAAACTATATATATACTGTATATATACTATTTAAACTTAGTATGTGAAATTTATATTAATTTTTTTATCAGATTTACTACATTTGCTTTTATTTAAACCTGTACTCAGAAATAAAATCCGCCAAAGGATTTTAGAAATACGCTAAGGTGCTGCGGTTGCAAGCTGATGTTGGGAGATTAGTATCATTTTTTGATAACATTGTTATAGCTGAAGGGTATTTGTAAGCAAGTAAAGGCTACTGAAATAATCGACAAAAAAACTAGGATTATAGAAACATTTTTACCCTGCGTATACTAGAGCTGAAAATAAAAAATATGATCAATTTTTACTATTTAACTGTACAGGATTCTTTATTACTTTCATTACAGAACAAATGGAAATATAAATAAATTTAATATTATTCCTATAGCCTTTTTTTGTATCTCTTTTTCCCAAATGTCCATAATTTTATCTTTTATAAACGTTCGTTTATTTTTTTGTCCTTGTTTATTGTAAACTTTCCTTTTCTTTTTATCTTTGATTCAATAATTTAATAAAGGAATAAAAGTGTTTCATAAGCATTCTTTCAGTAACGAACGTGAGCAAACCTTACACTTTTAAGAGAGACTTATCTAGCATAAAATTGATCTATAGCTTTCACAATTATTCGTGTATAAATTTCTTTTACAATTTTAATACATTCACAAACGAGATTTACTAAGTTAAGGAGGCAAAATTTTTCATTGGTAAAAAACCTAAATGGTCTAAACCCGTTTCAAAGTCACTTGACTAAATTAGGGCTGAAGGAAAATGAATTTTTTGCCAACTCAGTACAATAATAACAACTTTATACCTGATGCTAAATGAGTAGACCGACTCTTTACCTAAGTATACTTTTCTTTTATCATACGTTATCCTGATTTTTAGGACCATAATTAAATTGTACAAAAAGGTATATCAAACGCAATGCTACCCAGCAACGTCCTTAAATTCGTCTATTGAATTACAACTGCATAGGAACTTTTCCATTTCCTTCTAATAACTATAATGATTTGGAAATTTAATTAAAAACAAAAATACTAATTAAGTAGCGTTATTTTTTGCCATTTTCACATCATGTTTAAAAGTGGAACTTAGCTTAAATAATTTTAATTGTCTTCTTCCTCCTCTTCCGTTTTCATTGGAATATTTTATGTTTAGATGAATGATTAATTGAAAGAATGTGAAATAACAAATAAGAGGAGCAATCTTTACTATGCAAAAGATTTAGAAAAATTGTCAATAAACTATGAATTGGGTGTTTTACTATATTTAGTAAATTAGTATGAGTTTAATAATATATAAAAAAAATAATAAATCTTTAAGTAGTATTGTTATACAGTATATTTAAAATTGTATATTTCATTTAGCCGCAAATAAAAAACTGGGAGTGTTACTATACAGGAAACGCCATATTAAACATATTAACACTAATTATATTCGTCTCATGCTTGTGTTTTTTTTAATATTTATTATAAAAGATATGGAGGATATGTCTAATTACCCAAATGTATATATTATATCTCCACCTTGCGTAGAATGGTATAGATATTTCATTGAAAAAGAACATGATATACATGAGAACGTTGTTGTATCATTAAAAGAGAAAGTAAGCTAGGAATGACATACTCTCTCAGTATAGAGCATACAAGACAAAATGTATTTCCTTGTTATTCAGTAATACAATATTATTTTAATGTTTAAAAAGATGTAATATTATTTATTGATACTTAGAAAGATATGACTTTTACAATCTTGGCTGCTGCTTGTCAGAAGAAAATTTTTTATTGCTTATTTCATCAACAAAAGGCAAAGTATTGATAATTTGCATATGAAACGCCTGCAGATTTACCAAAGATAATAGCTATTGATAGTTAATTAAATAATTGGTAAATTGAATTGTTAGTCCAGTTTATCATTAAGACTGTTAAGTTGCTTTCACGTAAGTTGTTTTCAATATGAAATCTGCTTTATAATTTTACCTATAAACGCGAAAGATCGTGATAAATTACTGAAATATTAAGACTTTTAGGAGATTAAAAGACTTTGAAATCTTTTATTTCTCTTTTCTGCTATTTACAGAAAAACCTTGATTGCTTTCATAAAGAATTCCAAACCGCTGGACACTTTCCAGTTCACATGTGTTTTTTTTAGTTCATCAATTGAAAAGAAATTATCTTTATTCACACAATTTTCTATATAGATAATCTAGAACAAAACTGTCCACCTATAAATAGCTCCATCTATTGGATTTTCTATGAAGATAAAGACTTATTGTTTAGAGGAGAATGTTTTTTTCTAAAACTTCTCCTTTCTTCATAAACAGCTATTCATTACGTTGCAATACTGAATTTAGTTCGTTCCAAAGCAGAAGCTTCCAGTATTTTGTTTATGATATTTGTTTTTCTGTATAGTTAGAAAAAAAAAGCTTGAAAACATATTTTACCATTCTGTGAACATTTAGAGCGGCAAATTGAGTAAATATCTAACAACTATTTCCATACATTAAAGATAAAAACTTAAGTCCAGTTACTTTTAAGAAAAATGTACTATTTTAAAGCAATTACTTCTTCAAGAGGTCCCCTTATTTAATTGGAGCGTATAAAACATGAGAAAATAATAAAATAAGAGAAATCGTCGAGGGCTAGAAGACAAGTAGAATTACGTGACTTTCCATTGTTAGATATAGATTATTCCTTTTCAAGTTCCCAAAGATTGGGGGGGAAAGTCACTCTTATTATATTATACTAAGAGTCATTAACAAAAATACTTTTTCCTTATTGATGATTTGAATATTAGCTTGCTACTAGCCCTTTTTGTTTCTTTGCTTCTCCCATTTACTATTTATTGACATAAGAAAAAAAATTCACATAGATAAAGCGTATATTTTTTTATAACAACTTGTTATTTAGTTAATTACAAAAGGGGAAAAAATGGATTTACCCCTCAGGCATTACATGAATAATACAAATAGCATGAATAATCGAATACTGGACGTTGTATTAAATTGTGCACAATAAAAAAAGAAGTATAATTTAAAAATCTGTAAGAAAACATATATTCTGATAGAAGTTCATGAATTATTCTTCATGTTTCGGATATATAAAAAATAAAAAAATTCAACCAGGTGTTTTTTACTTTATCGTAATGCAGCAGGTATAAAAAGGAACTCTAGAAAAGAGCAGAGGCTCTTCAAGCTAATATGCTGATAGCAGAAATTCTCCTAGTGTATATAGGCCAAACCACGAAAGATTTGATGGGCAAATAATTTCATTCAGGAAATTGGTTGACTCTTTTTCATATGTAATAATGTCGAAATACTTGTAAGAGTATGCTTGAAAGTCGATCATCAGGTAATTTCCTGCTCATTCTAACCAAATTTTGCTCGTGCCTTTGATATATGTAGAAAAAATCTGGAATATACTAAAGAAGATATTTCAAGAATTTCCTGAATATTTTTGTTCTTTGGTAAAGAAATAGATTATCTTTGTTTTCTTTTAGACGATAGTTGTAAGCCCCTTCTTCAAAGAGGATAATTGAAAGTTTTTTTCGTAAATAATACGTAAAGTAGGAGGAATAAGTCGCTTTTGCTTGAAATGTAAATATAATAAATAATTTATTATTAAATAAGCATATTTCCAGGTAAAATAGATACAGAACGAATCGAGAGAGAAAGAGAAGAGTGAGAGAAACAGAGAAAGAGAGAGAGAGAGAGAGAAAGTAACTGACTGACTGAGAGAGATGGGAAAATAAGGCTTAACAATATAATGTTTTCAATGCTAGCTCTAATTAATCTCATGAGTACTATTATCAGTTTGTCACGTTAACAAACAACTCTAACACCTTTTTTTTGAATTAAAATTCCTATTTCTTGTTCTGTATTATTAATGAAAATGAAGGGTAATCACCTATTTATAAAATCTCAGTAATTAATGAGTTTTCCGTGTCCCATACATCATATGAAGAATTAATATCCATTCAACATATTCGATGAATTAATTCAAATAATGCAGAATAGAATAGATTGACGAAAGTAATTCTCAATGTACAATTATTTGATTATGTAACTGACTTCTTGAGTAGTTTACTTTACTTTTAAGTGAATTCTCTCAGTTCATCTTGTGTACCGCGTAAATTAGCAAAAAATAGAGAAAGAGATTTAAAACTCTGATTATTCATTAGTGCTTTTATGTAAATTTAAAAGAAGACATTTCTCGGCGCTAATTAAGAACAAAATTCTTCTTACAATTGTATTTATTTCACGTACAAAAGAACAAAAAAGAAAAAGTCACTTCGCCGGTCAAAGACCTTAATCTAGTGTTGTTTTCCTTTTTTTCAATCTCCTTTTTTTCTAGGTTAATAGCTTTCTGATTGAACAAAGTAAATTTCAATATCTACAAAATTAACTGAGTAATTTTCCAATCCATAATGCAATGTGAAATTTTTTTAAAAGTAAATCTAACCAATGACATCAAAAACGTATACTTTTTTGTATGTAATATGTTGACCTTGTATGAAAATATGTTTTTTTCTTCCTCTCTTTGCTAATAAGATGGGGGGAAGGGTATGGGAACAAGCACATCTTGTACTATTAAATATAATGTTTTCGGATCAATATTTCTTAATAATGTGATAAATTGATTTTGAGAAAAGCGATTAAGTTTCTAAACTTTTTCTTTTAAAGTAGCTAATCGTTTTTATATACCATTCTCTTAAATCTTTTAATATAAGATATTACTCTTCACAGCGGGTTATATCCTTTTCCAGGAATAAATTTTAAAGTAAATCATATATGCTTAAAATTTACTCATACTATACGTCTATGCCCTAAATTTTGGATAAGATATGACGTAGTCGCGTACTACAATTCTTATACATGCAATTTTGTTAGCATATATATATATATACTGTATATGCTATATACAGCACATATATCAACTGCAACATCTGCACCAAGTAGAACAGGACTACTAATTTTTTTAGTAATCACTACAAGTATTAAAATTATAAACAGATGATGGAAATATGAAAGTCAAATAAGATATATGCCTGCTTATAAACTGATTAATAAATGATTACTCATTATGTTTTATAGTATATTTACTAGTGCATTGTACGTTTAAAAACTATATTAGTTCGGAATATGTCGATAAATAGATAATATTCATAATACAAAAGGCTACGAGGCTTAGAGATAAAATTCTAACTTTGTAGCTTTTCTTTCTTTCTCCTACAGCTTCACTTTCTTTTTGCTTTCTATAAAAATTTCTGGATATCAAGGTACTTTTTTTAATACACTACGTAAAATACAGTCATTGGTATTTCCTGTTCTTTCTATAAAGATCTTAATTTGTTTCCATTGATTATAAAGCTTACTTTTTTTGTTTTTGTTATAGAAAGTCCTTTAATGACACTGCCATTCTGACAGACTAATCAAGATGGCGCCACTTAAAAAGAATTCTCAGCATGATCATTGCCTGGAGTAATGTGTACATAAGCAATAAGCGTCAAGGCCACGATTTAAACGCATGAAATCTGAAATTCCAATTAAAATATCATAGGCTAAAGAGTGATTTATTTATATTTTTTTTTTTTTTAAAAATAAACCATTTAATTTCAAATAGATTCTCTCGTTCTTTTATTAGCATTAAACTAGTGTTACTCTATATCTTTTACAATAAATGTTATATTGGTTAGCAATCTTTTCTGGGATAGAAAACTTCTGAAAATCAATTTCGTAAAGAATACTCTTCATTTTATTATATTTTATTAATTCAGCAACAACTAGAACCTTTAGGTGACTGCCAATGGCCTTTCCGTATTATGACAGCAGGTGTCACTGCAAATAGTCATTTGGACGATTTTACTGGAGAGAGCAGGTCGGAAGATTGCTGTCGCTCATTCTTCTCTGGTTTTTTAATTGAAATACTGAAAATAGTGCTTAGAAATTGCAGCAGTAATAAGACCGACGGAAAGCTTTATTCAAGGTCAGTTTCTGTTTCTATGTTTACATCAGAATATCGAAAATAGAATGAGTATAAAATGTTACTTTCATCATTTCCATACTTTCCTCATTTGTGATAAGAATTTTTAAACTGCAAAATTTTTAAATTTGTTCTCCCTGTACGCTGTAAGATTCGTTATTGTTTAATCATTGCTAGTTTTATAGGTCGATTATATGAGCAAAGAAATAAATAGATTAGTTAGATATATTTTTTTCTTTTCGCATGTTTTATACAAATCACGACCTAAGATTTGACAGAACGTTTTGTCTTTAATAGACAATAGAATTATCTCCTTTTCTAAACAGAACTAGATCTTTTTCTTTTGTTTATTCTTTATTTCTTAAATAATACTTTTATTATTATTAAAAATATTCTGAGTAAAGAGACTGATATCAAAGGAAAAATTACAAATAATTGTTGGTGTTTTCTTAACACAAAGGCTCAATTTAGTGACTTCTATGCTAATTTCTTGGTGATAAAATTGAATAATTACTTCCTTTACACCTGTAATTTTAATCATTAGTAAACCCTTTTGTTTATTTAATCAAGGTGTATAAAGAGGATCGTTTAGTTCTAGGTCTATTTGTGCATTTCAATATTATCTTCTAATCAATAATACGCCAATTAAATATTGTACGGTTAGTCTTGAAATATTTTCATCACCGTTAATTTCATTCCAGTAGAATCATCTTTAAAAAAAATCGTTCAAAGTCACTTAAGTTTGTGTTTACCTGCTAAAAAGGTTTTTCTCTATCATCACTCTTTTAACGACCTAAAAATTTATGCCGTTAGATATTTTGCTTTGTTTTTTTTTTCTTTTTCACACAAAGATTCGCCTTGAAAAACAAACTTGGTGTCTTTAAATAAGACTGCTGTTAGTAAACATTTACGTTGTAGTTGAAAACGATGAATTTATTCTAATTAAGTATAAATCGATTAATAGAAAAAAGGTAAAAGTACAAGAAGAGTGAGAAATTGGAGTGAGGATAGAAAGAAGATAAAAATAAATTCGCTTTAACCTAAAAGGCTTTTTTCCCTTGTTTTCTTTCATTTTCTTAATGATAAATAAAGTGAATAAAAACAAGTTTCTTTCTTATTCATCTATGATTACCACAAATATTTCTCATTTAACTCAGTGAATTTCAAGACATTATAATAGACTTTCAAAAGAAACGAGTAAAAACTATAAAATTCCGGATAGAATGTGATTTTGTTGGCATTTCATCAGCGTTCTATTTGATATTTTGGTCAATACAGAACCCTAGAGAGAAAATATCGCTCTTTCCTCTCCCCGTAACTTAAAATTGCTTCTTTTCAGGAAATTTGATTCATTTATTACCTAATTAATATAACCTTGAGAAAAATTCAGAGGAATTTTCTCTCCCGTTTATTGGTTTTCTTAACTGCTATCTGTCTCTAATTGTCTTTTTTTATATAATTATAAGTACCTATATACAACTGTATATATTTGTATATTTTATATATCTTTCAAATTTCATCTTTAAAAACGAAAGCATTTATTAATAATATCAAATACAAGGAGTATTCATTTTTCTATCATTTATCTCTAATTATTTTCCTACTTTCTTATTATTGGAAAGAGAGTATCAATACTATAAAATGCTATTAAGTGAATTCTTTTGCAAAGTTTATTGAAAGTCATAGTAATAGATTTGCTATCTGCTGCGTTCGTTTAGAAACATGAATTTTTAATATATTGTTTTCATATCTTTAACATTTTAAAATATATTTAACGAAAGCAATTAGCATATTAAAAATACAGTATATGTTGTAAATTTATAAATATAGTACATACAATATATTTTGTATTCACCACAAATTTGTAATGTATAAAAAGACGCAAGTCTCCTTAATGTCTAATAATAGTCATACTTTAAAAAATAAACTATCTTACACTACTTATATAAATAGAAAACTATCTATTCTAATTCATTATTTTGCTTTTCATGTAGAAATGCATGTAAATGTGTAAAATATATCTAGATATATATAAAGCATACTTATATAAATATGTCATAAATCGAATACGTCATACAATATGACGTAAATTGAATAACGTTTTATCCTAGTTTTAAGCCATTTACAATCTTTCTTTATATTTTTTCTTTCCTGTGTAAAATAATACTACCGACATTAATAAAATCAGTTTCTTTAAATTTTGAAATGAACTTTTAACGTAATTGTTTATATTTCCATTACATTAACAAAAATTATTTCCGGTTCCTTTAGACTGTACAAAATGCATGAAATATTAACTTCTAATTAGTAAAATTTAGAAATACATTTATAATCGATAACAATCAATCGTTGTACGAATACTTGTAAACAAGCATTTATTTGAGATAATCAGCTTAAGAGACAGATGCAAACTTCCTCTTATCATTCTGAATTGGATATTAATTTTTTAATAGTGTGTTTATCTTCTTAAATAAGATAGAGATTAAATAAATGACATGAATAAATTATGCAAATTGAGCTATATATTTAAATGGAAAGAGGATCCATTGAAACATTGTTTCTTATTTTGATTGGATGAGTGGGAAAAGTAAACAGGGAAATCGATGAATGATACAATATATTATGAAGTGAAAAATGAAAAAGTTCAGTTGATGTATGTAAATGAATATATTTTACCCTTGAGAATTTTCGCTGGTGACAACTAATGCTAGTTTGGCTAATAGTAGAAACATTTACCACAAAAGGATACTTTCAGGGTTTTGCACTTTTAAATTTGTGGTAATGGATGTTTTTACATTCTCAAAATGTATCTAAGCATTTTGTATGTCCTTAACGAATCATAGAACTTAAAATATACTGTAGATGCGTAATGATGGGACAGACCTTTATTTTCCATAGATTTTTTTCCTGTTTTTTCTGTTTTTTCAGAAAGAACAACTAATAATTAACCATACTCAACCCTTTATAATTATTCACAGTCATAAACTTCATATTTAATCAACGATTCTCAAAGAAATTATTATTCGCAGACGTTGCACAAACATATCCAAACAATTTTAACCCACGCAGTTTGTGTTTTTTTTGTCATTTCTTTCAACGAGTTTTTTAATGTCATGATTGCTGAAGAAAAAGATAAAAGAACGGATAATCTAACGCAGTATATTAATATATTTGAATATTTATAAAGAATTTGAAATGTTTTGAAACGCTTCTTTGATTTTATCCTTTCATTATCTTCTTCATTTGTCTTCTCTTTCCCTTAAATAATATAAATATATATTTAGGTTGTTTATAGTTGAATAAAAATTTATTGATTTGTCTTCTATATATGTTAGATAAATCTATTCTAATTTAGCGGTTGGAATAAAAAGGAAAACAAGCGTGTAATAATGCCATGTCAACTTCCCTTTTCCATACTTTAAGTCTTATTGTCATATATTTCATTTTCTCTTAAAATGCTCTATATTCCTTGCAAGACAGATTCCGACTAGTTATCAATACTTCTCTAATTGTATAATAAAATCCACTAGATTTTATTGCTTTTATATCATATAAGACCAAATAATTTATTTACTAGTATTATAATGGATGTTTTTCTCTGTTTTTACAGAATGGCTATTCATTCTGCCCCTAATTCGCCATTTAAAAGGTGTCGAGCTGATCGAATAGGATTACTCGGTAGAAGTTCAGCATCTGTTGACGAACCAGATACAATACCCGCAAAAAACTGCAGAAGATTGGTCGTGGTCGGATCTGCTAGGGTTGGGAAAACATCATTAGTTCAAAGATTTTTACATGGAAAATTCGAAGATAGCTATACTCCAACGATAGAAGATTTCCATTCGAAAATTTACAGGATCAGGGGTGAAGCTTATAGATTGGATATTTTAGATACATCTGGTAACCATCCTTTTCCGGCTATGAGAAGATTAAGTTTACTAACAGGTAAGGAGTTTAAAAGGAAGTTATAGCATTAACTAAATAATAAAAAGAAATGATACACGTATTAAGGAAGAAAACAAAATAGTTACTATGAAAGTTTAATAAAAACGATTAATCATTCATTAACACATGTACACATATGCTTCTATACAAATAATATCTTTGCCAGACAGACATGCTATTAAAATATGCATTTGGAAATTATCTCTTTAAACAATAAAATGTGAGAGATATCAAAAGTAAACGAAGAATAAGTTATATTTTAACACTTACACATTTACAAAAGATTAAAAATTGACCATAAAAAGAGTGGAATAATTCGTTATATAAAATATATACATGGAGATAGGAAATATGTCAGACAATATCTGTGTCTCTCCTTCACTGTCTATAAGTCTTTCCTACCCTTTTCTCTCATTTTGCCACTGATCTTTTTTGCTTCACTCCTTTCTCTCACATTATTTTTATCAATCTATCTCTGCCTATCTTTTCCTCAAATTCCCGTTTAAAGAACTAATAACACAAATAAAATAATTGTTTCAACTTTCTATATCAATTATATATTACCATTTGGCCGATGAGAAAATGGACTTATAAGTAATTCTGCTTAAAAAATTATTCTTTAACTGCAAGTTTAATTAGCATGTCAACAGAGATTGTTCTAAGTTACATCATGTAAAAACCAAATTTTTATTTTAGTATATATGTGAAAAGAGGATTTTTGAAATTATATATTTTTAAAATCTGACCTATGAAGGCTATAAAGGTAATGCCCATTGAGGAAAGTAGTCTATTTTCACTTACGAAATATAGTAGGTGTAAAATTATGAAAAAATGTATAATTTTACAATTTGCAGTAGGCTAGCCAAACGTTTTATGAATATTTGATACAAGGCATTAGTAGTAAAGATTAAATAAACAAAATAATGATTCCTTCAACGTTACTATTAAAGGTCCCTATAGAAACGACCCCATTATCACGGTTAGGGTTATAGGATCTACCCTATATACAGTCGTAGAGAAAAAAGCGAAAAATGTCACTTGGCAAGAGTTTGTTTTTCTTAATTTGATATTATAGACCTTGTACATTTGTAGCATTTTAACTAATTAGTTAGAAATTTCTCACGCATACCATTTATTGGTGAACAAATGATGAACGGCAATTAATTTGATAAGGTTATATAGAAAGAACTAATAGAAATTAAGTAAAAGTTTTTGCTCCATTCCAGTTCTAGCACTAAAAAATTGACATTTAACGACATTTTCCAGGAGACCTGTTCGTGCTTGTTTACGCTCTTGATCAAAGGGAGACGTTCGAAGAAGTGAAGCAACTGCAAAAGCAGATATTGGAAAGTAAGGTTAGTAGTCGATTGATTAAATGTATAGTCTTTTGTAGACATATAGAGTGATATATTAGAGTAATCGAACTAGCCGCGCTTTCATCTGATAAAATCAAAGTAAATTAGCTGAGTAAGCATGTGTCACTTACGCCATTGACTCTTTTTTTTGCAATTTTTGACATATTTACTGAATAGCTTTAGTAGATAAAATATTTTGCATAAATAATAATTTATTTAAATAAGCCGTCATTAACATCCTAATCCATTTTGAAGAGCAAAGAGACTTTAGAATAAAGTGTAATATGTAATCCTAAACATTTTTTAATTATTATCCCATTTACATGCTTTTTCCAATGGAAAACTTTTAAAAGAAAGTATAGAGAAACATCGTCTACCGAGAGTTTTCCACCAACTATACATATTTAAAAGGCAATTTTCATTCATTCATTAGAAAAAAATCATGGAATTAGTAAAATATTTAACAAAAATAATCTAAAAGGATTGAAGCGAAAGTTCATTTGCTAAAGATTACTCTACTGGAATTATTTGATTTAACTAACCTACATTCGATTTATTAATCTACTAGCTATGAAGAAATACTTTACTTCTAACCATTCGATATCTCTTCAGTGGTCAACAGTTTACAGTTGACCTTATTCCATCAAGTGCAATAAATAATTAGATAATTCCGTATGTGTTTCTCTTTCTCTCTCTCTCTTTCTCTCTTTTATAGTTTCTTAATCCTTTTCTATCTAAAGGAAATGATATTTAAATTTTGAAATAGTCAAAGAGAAGCCAAAAAATAAGTAAACCTTTGTATTGTGTTTGTTAACATTAGTATAACGAATGCTCATTTTTACAGTTTTTCCCATTTATCATTTCCATAAGGTAGATCTGTTATAAATTAATAATAGGCAATTAAAAATGACGAATGAAAGATAGGGAGTCTCTTTTATTACAAAAGCAGAAAATAGCTCTTTTTTTTAAACAAAAAAAACTTCAACATTATATTTAGCTGACGTTACTAAACGTCACTATAAGTGCACCTGAAGCGTCATATATACGCCACTTATTAAGAATTTACACTACAAGTAAATATATAAAAAGTGATATATTTAGAAGAAGATTTCTTTCTCTGTCTATTTACTCTAATAGCACATTAGAGCTTTTTCGCCAAAAACTTTTACTTTATATAATAAACTATTTATTGAAGCTTATTTATATACATATAGAGTATATACAGTATATATGCAGTTTATATAAATTTATATACTAATATATATATATATATATATATATATATATATATACATGAATATATTAGTGTGTCTTACGTTGGCAAGTTCGTTACATATTCGGTTGTTGTAAACATAGCCGATATTTCATCAACTACAGTAATCCTCTATAGATATTTTATTAACAAATCGGGCTTCTTCTCTTCAGATAAACAAGATCTTACAAATATCATACAGTATATTATCTACTATGCGACATTTTCATTGATAATTACTCATTTTCAAAATTAAAGTACATATTTAGTATACAAAGCTTTTGCACTATGAATTATTATGACTATTTATAGCAGTAATTTTATCTATACAGAATATATACTATATACACACACATATATATATATATATAGATATATGCTAGTTAAAGATAATTAATGAGTTTACTATCAGCATGGATTCTTGAGATTAAAAGCTGAAAAATGCGCCTCTTCTTTCTACAGCCATTAAAAATAAGAGTGATAAATAAGCTCATCATAAAATGATTTCTTTTTTTTAAATGTTTTTACCTAAATAGAAGGTGAAATAAAAAAAAATATTTAGAGATAAAAAACATATATAAATTATCAAAAACCTTATCTTCTCTTCCTGTTTATAAATTTTTAGCTGATTAAATAAAAGAAACAAAATAATAACAAAATAATATAGACAAATTGTGCTAGATTTCTTTTTGAAAATACAACAGCCCTTAATAGGAAAGTGGAAGACTCCTGCTTAGATTTACAGTTGGGGGGAGGAGATAGTCGAGTTTTCGAAAAAAAAACACTATATTAATAGCGGCTAAAGCTTTAGAGTTTCTTTTTGTGTAAGTATTGTTTATGAGATATAATTTCTTTTATAAATAACAAAACAAGTCATATATCAAAAGTTGTATTCTCTTTTTTAAATGAAAGCCTTCAAACAAAATGTAATAATCTCACATAACTAGAAACTTTTGTTACTCTGTTGTAATTTCAAAGAAATTCAGAAAAAACAACCATAACTGTATTTTGAAGGATAAAACAGCCTCTTTCGAACTGGAAATGATAATTAAACGATAATTAAATTTTAGAATTGACGTAGCCTAAATCTTAATAGTTTATTTATCCTTTATTATTTCACTATTCGAAAGAGATTAGCTGTCATATGGATAAAGGCATGTAAAATGATCATTAATTTGTCTTTTTAGAGTTTTTAAATAAAGAGAAAATTTCTAATACTTTACAGTTTACAATATGAAATTACTGCTTAGATAGGAAATTTTTTATAATTCCTTCAAAAATGAGTGATGATATTAGAGAAGATTGATCTTTTAAAAGCCTTGATACACTCTTAAAATTATGAATACTGAATATAAATTTATATATATATAATTTATATGTACTTATACATGTAAACATATATTCAGTATATAGAAATCTTGTGTATTCTACCTACCCTATGTTTATCTATACAAGTTGTCTTCTTTCAATTCGGGTAACACGATTATCACTCAATCGTAAATTACTACATGTTTGTATTGAAAAAAGAAAGTTCAATAGCAATTATTTTATTTAGAATCATCCATTCCTAGCTGTCAGTTAGAGTCCGTCGAACTCATATAGTCACGTTCGAAGCGTAAAGATTTGGTATCTTTAGTTATATCCTATCCCAAACGCAGCGCGTTATATGTTGTAGCAAAACTATTTTTCATACAACTGCAATATTTTTGTATTTTTGCTAGGGGAGAAGCATATAGTTTAACAAAAAACTTGAAATTGGAACAGACTTCAACAAAATAGTAAAATAAGCGCTTTGCAAGGGTCTGCTTTAAACTTAAGTGTAGAAAGTTTGTCAGGTGTAACTTGACAGGGAATCTTGTTAAAAACAAGTGTAATTTCTATATCGTAAACAGAAATTAGTATATTCTGAAAAAAGACTCATATATATGCTAAATTGATGAAGTTTTACGGAACGACATCATTTCTTACTTAAATCTTCTTCTATGTAAACTATAAAAAAGAAATAGCTATAAATAAGAATTGTAAAAAAAAGTGGTCTATAGTAAATAAGGTTTTAAAAAAGTGAAAAAAGACAAAATAATGGGAGTAGGCGGTAAGAGAGAGAGAGAGAGAGTAGCAAATAAAAAGATTGATAAGTGGAAAAGATTTAACGAAAAGGAGAGAAAACTTCTATTTAATTCTAAATATAATCCTTTTTTTTTACATTCTAAGATGAAACACAAAGCAATACCTGTTACTTTTTAGGTACAAAATCTTATTGTTCATGATCTTCTGTATAGAAAAAAGCTCTGGATCTACTGAGGCACTTATTTTTAATATTATCACCGATTTTATTTCTTAGAACTGTATCTTATAAGCTCTATAATATTGTATATTGACAATGGCGTAGACGTTATTAATTACAGCTTAGAACATCAGTAAACGTGAAAATTTACCAATTTATTGTTTGCAAAAGTTTATTTACTGCGAGGAATAAAATAGCTAATGTAAACAAGAAACCAATATAATGTATTTACAAGGGGAAGTGTAGTGTATCTTTTCAATCAAATATTTGGATATGTGACAGGTGTCTACCTAATAGTATTTAGCATGCAGAAAATGGAATTTCAAATTTAGGGAATAGTAAATCTCTTTTCCCAACAGGTTGGTCGTCTTGGGCAGGGTAAAAGTAAAAGCTCTGTTATTCCGATGGTCTTTGTTGGAAACAAATGTGAACAGGACGAAAGAGAAATAGGAGAAGATGAAGCTCGAGAACTGGCTAATCTTTTTCCAGGCTGTGCCAATGTTGAAGCTTCTGCTAAAATAAATATAAACGTTGAAGAAATATTTGTCAAACTTTTTATGCTGGCAAAACTACCCACAGAAATGTCTCCCAATCTCCATAGAAAGGTGGCTCCCTCTTTTATTGGGTTTCGTCGATCACAAAGCAGCGATAGTGAGGACGACAGCTGTAAAGATTCATTCCGGCGGCGAATGACTATGAGACGTCGCATGAGTGACGCTTGTGGGGCAGTAACGCCCAATGCTAGGAGGCCATCTATTCGAACGGATTTACTGCTGATGCAGGCGAGGAAGGCTCATGGTGGATCTTTTGAATCAGCTGCTCATAATAAATGTTCTGTAATGTGATTTATTGAAGCTTCTTGTTGTCTCTGTAATTTTTTTTGCACACGTTCCAATCTTACACATTAGAAAATAACAAAAAAAAAACAGCTGGCATTATAAAAACCTTTTTTTCAAAGAAATTAAACACAAAAGTCTTAAGATCGATCTTAAAATGAGAAGAAAAGACTAAGATGGAATGTTATCCTTTTTTCAAAAAAATGAGATCAATTACGTCAAACCCTAAAGGTCCGATATATCAAGTTTTAGAGAAAGATTTCCAGGCCATTTTATGATCCGTAAATAAGATGAAATAATCTCTTATGACTCTTTATAGAGAAAGAAAACCTGATTCACAGTTACTTTACCGTAAGAAAATTAATATCTATATTACAATTTCAAAACACGAAAACGACCAAACACAAGGCGACTGTAGATTTTTTCCTATTCTCGCTCTTTTTCCATAAAGAATAATACAAACAGAAAAGGAATAATTGATATATTCAATAAAGAACGCTAAGCATATTTTTCAATTATTTCAAGGTAAAAAAAAGTAACCATATTACTTTATGGGTTAAAAGAAATTCGATTAGAAAAAGATATTTATTAAATAACATTCAAGGAATTTAATATATATTCTCTATTATTGCATTAAACGTATAAAGAAACAAAAACATACTATTCTGAATAAAAACTCAACCAATTTTAGAATTGTCTCTTCTAGTTCTGGTTAGCATCATACGGGGTAATTAGTCTCTTAAAAATTAATGCCAACTTTATGGAAGATTAGTCATATATATTTTAATGAGTTATACCGAACAAAATAACAAAATAGGAGGTAATTATTTCAACTTAAAAGAATATTCTTTTTATAGAAATATTTTCCTAGAATAAATATTTAGCAGAGTAAGGCTGATGTTGGTAGTAGATTTAGTAGATTTTTAGAAGATTTAATATAAAACAGAAAGACAGTAGTAATACAAATTTAATCATTTCTTATATCAGAAAGATACGATATCACATAGTGAACAATTCCTAACCAAATTCTGTCACATATTTATGTACAAAACGTGAGATGAAGTATTAAAATGTTGAAACAATAATTGTAAAAGATATATAGAAGATTGGAAAAGGATTCCAATTTCTTCTTAATTCAGATTGAATAATTTATATATTTATCAAAGTCAAAATTTTTAACTAGGTTTATTATATTATTCAAAGTGCCAAGTAAAATTCTTCATTATAAAATTTATCATGTTAGAATAATATATTATATATAGGAAATCCTACATATTTGTAATATTTAGACTTTATAAAAATAATCAAACAGAAGTACAATGAGCCGTTTATGTTTCATTATAAATTTAGTTTTTATTCGATTCTCTTTTTATCTCTCTATCTTATTCCCAATATTCCTTCTCTTTCTGTCTCTCTATCTTACCCTCTCTCCTCTTCTCTCTCTCTCTCTCGCTCACTCTCTCATCTCTTATTCCGTTTATTTGGCTTTGCTAAAAGACTAAATAGCTCATAGTATTATTTGCTTCTTTACTTTGTTCTTCGATCTTTTCTATAAAAGGATTATGAGAAAATAGTTGTTAGTGCTATATCATAAGAAAACTCCTTCTCAATGAAAAATGATCTACAAGACGAAGAGATGAAGAGAAATGGCTTTTTAAATTCGTCTAACTAAATTACAAGTAGCAACCAGCGTCCTGAGTGATTAAAACATGTGTTGCTAATCAAAGTGTATAAAATGAATGTGTTTGCAATTCAGTATCGAACTAGTTTATCAAATTTATTTTCATCTCAATAACTATAGTCTATGAGGATAAGGATTTACTTTATACATTATGCCAATAATATTGGAGAATATCTTGTTAGACCAAACCTTATTTCTTTTCATAACAGTAAGACTCAACTGGAGCCTTTTGTGTCTTTTATCTATCAAATTTTAATACTTGAATACAGCAATCTACATATTCTTTTTCCCTTTAGGATAGAGGTTAAGTAATAAAATAAAAAAGTCATAATTTTCAGTTATACTGTATAAGAGAGTAGAAAGATGGGAAAAACACTTTACTTTATCACGACAAAGACTAAAGATGGTACGACTATACAAGCTTTTTTTCTCTTAAAAAAGAGGACATTGTCCTTTAGCGTTAATTTTAGGATATATTTTAGCAGTTTAGTCTATTATTAATATTCAAAAGACAATTTTTTATATACACTGCGCATATACAAATGCTAGTTACATTAAGAAAATGAAATGGAAGAATATATCGTTACAAAATTGGCTGCTCATATTTAAATAAATTTAATATCAAAAGTGATATATGATTCCAGTTCAACCAATTTTCAATTGCTTTTATCTTTTTTTTCATTTTGAAACTGAGAAACGCTATAGACCTTGTAAATCTACCTAAAGGATTATCAAATTATATTGCATTTCATGCTATCTTTTTTCTGTTTTAGAATAGAGGAGATCCATTAAAGTTAATTATTTTTACATGTTTTTCTTTTTAAATTTTGCTTTCAACAAATAAATTTCCAAAAGAAACGGTTTATTTTGCACTAGAACACTCTCTTTTTTATTTAATAATATAAAAAATATGATATAGTTCTTATTTATTCCTAGTTTGAAAAGCTTAGTTGACTCTCTTCGTTGCTTTGCTTGACAATTCCAGGGAGAAAATTCATAAATTAACCAAAAATATCTTATTTAGTTAATAGTCTCTAGAGTAAATCCAAACTAGGGTGCATGCTCAAAACAATTTGTCACTAGTAGGGCCCTTTTATTACTAACTATTTGTCAGGTCGAGGTTTCTAAATGGTAACATGAATGGGATGCATTTACTATCCTTTTAAATAAGCATATCAATCTGTCTTATTGCCTATAGTCTTGTCGTGTGACAAATTGTCAAAAGTAATCCTAGGCCAAACTTATGTATAGTGCAAGCTCTTACTTTGTGGTTTTTGCGGAAGGGAAGGGAAAAAATAAGATCTTTGTATTGCAATTAAAAATGACTGTGACGTCATTGTGAACTATAACATATATAAACGGAACAGTCAGGTATTAATTAAGCGTGGCACGCCAACGCAAAGGGACGTACATATTATATGTCTTGTAAGGTTTCTTATTTTTAATGCGGTATAGATAAAAAAGTTTGGTATTATTTTTTTTCAACAAGTTAAACTATTTAATATTTATTTCCTGAAAAAAATTACAATTATGAAATATTTTCTCTAATCTACTGAAGTGGGAATGTAATTAACTCAATTCAATACTCTTGAATACGATAGATGGCGTCAATTTGAAAAAAACATTTCCAATATTTTTACATCACACGATGATTCTAATGCATAAAATTTATCGTTCACTGACTTCCCAGCTATTTGTCAGTAAAGTAGCTCCATCTGTTAATAAAAGTACACTTATGTCATTCAAACGATATTAGTATAGACTTTAGAAGAAAAATGACGTATCCACAGTAACGTCTGAAAATGAATTATTTGAATCACTTTGTGAGAAGCTACAGATTTATCTCTTAAAAATAAATGAAAATGTCACGAACAACCAAATTTTTCTGTTATCAGGAATTGTAATTAAAAAAACTATTCAGAATAAAGCAATTTAGCTATTATTCTCCCTTGATGACTATTTATTATTTTTATAGAAATTAACAAATTATCTATTTTTCAGCTTATGTTTATAAAAACCTAGCTCAGTGTAAAGGCTATACTTCTGACCAATTGAACTTAGCAATAATAGTAATAATAACAATATATATGCATTTATATATATATTACAGTGTATCGAATATTGAGATTATAAAAGAGCTACAGAGACACTCATTGAGTGTATCTAAAACAAATTTTGTGCTTAAAAATTAGGTGACAATATGTGATTTATTCATACTAGTAGAATGTCATAATATTTAACTTGAAAAGTTCTTTGATCACGTTATTTAAAAATATTCTAAAGAGTGTTTAAGTGGGACCTTCGAACTATTTTTATATATTTACATCATATATTATAATTTAGAATGAATACAAGCATTTAACGATAATGAAAAGACACATAAATATTCTCTTTGTTATTATAGGTATACTGTATGGGATATTAATTCTCTTATTATATATCTATATATATATATATATATATATGTATATAATACTCATTCATAAACATACTTTTACTTTTTTATCTAGGAGAGCGAAATATAATACACTTATATAATATTATAATATATATATATATATATATAGCACCTATTTGTCTTATCATTTTTTTGCGTAGGTGTAGTAAAACCAAAAGAATTTGCTGTTAAACATTTTTAAGTGTGTTTTTTTGTATTATAATTAATTTTCATTCATATCTTCTTTTTGCTCATTCATATCAAAAAGTATTTTGTATAATGTATTCTATCTGTTCACTTTTCTCTCTCTCTCTTTCTCTCTCTCTCTCCCTTTCTTTCTTTCTTTAGCTATTAATCTCTGTCTTATTTCTTCTTTCTATTCTTGTTAATTTTTTATTGAAAATATCAATGAAAAGAAAATTCATTTTTTATTAAACTTTGAACTTTCATTCTTTTGGATAAAAAATGAGATTACAAAAGAATAAACATTGAAGAGATTACAATCTTTGAAAATACTGCCGCATCTTTCATCTTTTATAATTGTTTACTTTTTAGCGAGTTTTTCTATATATTCTTTATTAAATTCTGATATTAGAATAATAATTTTAAATGTGCAACTTGTTATATAACGAGACTATTATCTGATACTGAGACTGATAAAGTTTCAAGAACTTTCAGCCTATTGCGTATATTATCTGAAAGAATTCTCAAAATCTCTGTTATTCGCAAAGACCAGAGGCAATAGAACTGTGATTTCTTTATTATTTCATTCTTACTTTTTTACAACTGATAGAGAAAAAGTATGTCTCCAGTCGATTATTGTTTGCCATCAGTTAAAAATCGAAATGGATTGAACGTCAATCCTTTGAACAGCAAATGGAAGACTGATTATTGTTTACCATCTGTTTGGGATAATGGTATGATATTTGCCACTATATTTATTTTCATACTGTTGAAAGTAACCTTTATGAACTATTTTAGCCGAACGAATAACCGTTATATTAATTACATAGATCAACTGCATAATTGATAATTTATAGGTCTAGATCAACAATTCAGTATCAATCTTCCCAAGAATTTATAATGAAAATTAATATTTCATTAAAATCATTTTTTTTTATTAAAACGGAGTGTAATTTTATATAAAAAAATTTATAACATTGTAACTAAACAAAATTAATCGTACACTATTCGAAGCGCGGAACTTTATTAGGTGCAAATTAATTGATTTCCTGACGTTGATTGATGCTGAAAATATAGTTAAAAAAATAAAGGTTGGGGGAAAAAGTAAAATGATTATTTGACTATCTTGCAAATTAATAGATTCTGCTTTATAGACAACATATTTATAAATAATTTGTCTCTTCTCCTTTCCCTCCCTCTCGCTTTCTCTCTGTCTCTTTCCATCCGTAAAATATTCAATGGCATCCTGTAACATTAGAATATTAATTGGTTTCGCCTAGGTCAATTAAGTTTAACATTTAAAATAAAAGGAACACTTTTAAATAGAAAACCTTTTTTTCTTTTCTTTGCAAGTTGACATAGGCAAAACTTTGCCAAAATGTCACCAAGTTTAACATAAACTTTTAGGTCTATCGAAAACTATTAATTTTTTTCTAGATCAAAGTAGATTGTTAATTTTTTTCCACCTAATTTCATTTTTATAAGTAAATACTGTGCAATAGGATTAATGAAAGAAACTTTTACTATTAAAATTATTGATTTATCACAGTGTATAGTTTTCTTTTCAGACTTAATAGGCCTAATAGTTAATGTTATTCTATTGATTATGTACTAAGACAGTGCAGAAAGAAAAATGAGAGTGATTGAGAGAGCGTGGGATCAAGCAAGAGAGAGCTTGTAAAAGCACAGATTTCTTTAGACTTTAAACAGAATAGATAGATAGTTGATTGTAGTTTGATTCCTGCAAAGAAAAAGGTTGTATAGGATAAGAATTTCAATTGACCTTAACATTATCCCAAGGACACTCTGATTTAATATACTAATATACATTCTATCACACGTAAGTAAAAATTTTAATATAGTTGTTAAAGTTGTCTAGATTTATACTTAATCAAAAAATATATACTATGCAATGTACTTGTAACAGGTAGAACATGCTTTATCATCGTCTCTATTCATTCTATATGTTAAACATTATATAATAAAAGTGAGGTAATCTTTTCAAAGTTAAACATTCTAAATATGAAATATTGTATAAATAGTATCTATTTATTAGTTGTTTATACGGCTGTTAAAGTATAGCTTCGTCCTTAAGAATATTCCTATACAAAAGTTATTCCCATAATTATTAGTGTTTTTACCTATATACTAAACTGGCTAATTAAAATTAATAAAAGAAGGTAATACTGTATATAGATATATATACTTTATATATATATTAGTATATATAGCTGTATTTACTGCATAATATGTTATACATGAAGAAAAACGTTCTCCAATTATAACCCCTCACTGTTTTTATAAAAAGGGATTAATTTTCCTACAAAGATTGTTGTATATAAAAAAAATAGTTTGCTGTTGGTCAATAAAAATTAAAAGGCTGTACTCTTATTGCAGACAAACAATGGCTGATTATTGATCAATATCTGAATATTTAAATGACGTCATATATACCTCTTAAAAAGCAATTGATATAATGTAACATTTTTAAAATGAACATCTTATAGAAATAGCAATGTAGGAGAAAGTAAAAGGTCCAATTAGGCCCGAAACCAATTAATTGTTGAAAAGTATTGTTGAAACACCAACTCTAAAAAGTGCTTATTCTCTCTTTAAACGTACTCGAATGAAAAAGCTACTTAAATCTAAAGTTGGAATATTCTTTGCATTAAGCGATAAGCTGAATCTTAATCCGTCGGATTATAGGCCTTGAGAAAATCATTCAATATTCATATGTCTCTTGGCGCCGTTGTCAAGGAGCCTGCGTTGCTTGGAGTCAGTCAGTTTGGTGCCATTTTCTCTCTCCCTTTTCCTAATTGCGAATCTCTCGTCTGTTTGCCAGCAAAGTAACAGATAAATTAATAGAAAATACAAATAGGTTTGTATATGTTTACCAGTTTAGAAGGACAATATGGTAAAATTTCGAGATAACTCCAAAACCAGCATGTTCAGTAAATTATTGTGTTTACCTATTACAAATATCAAATAGAATTAAAGGAGATCTTGCAGGAAACCGTTATTATCAGATTTATAATAAATTTATATAAGATTTAATAGTAACTAAGACGCAAACTTTAAATCAGTTGATAAAAAACCAACTTGGTTAAAATCAATAATAATTAGTGAATATTTCTCTTGCTCTTTTTCATTGTTTCCTTCATTCTTCCCTTTTTTTTACTAAAATAATTTATTCATTAATTATAAAATTGGTTTAATGTAAAATATTCTCTTTTATTAAAATGAATTCCAAAAGAGAGTATTGCAAATGTCTGTAATTTTCTTATTTTTATACTCTCTTTTTTTTTATTTACAAACTGAGATTGTAATAAAAAAAAGTCCTCAATTCGATAGCTGCCTACTTTTTTAACAAACGAAAATTGATCAGTTTGTATGGCTTTTTTTGAGGGCGGAGTGAAAATTCTACTTTTTTTATTAATATTAAATTGGTATAATTACCATTAAAAAAAAGAGTAACAAAGAGAAATAATTTTTCACGGTTTTTCCTGCTTTTGCTTTGTTTTTATATGCATTTAATTAATAAAATAAATAATTTTAATGGCTACTTTTTAGGAATGGAGTATTTAGGGCAAACACAAACCGCTTCCTATATGACAGGACCGCGTATGGATGGTGGTGGCACTCCCACATTTCTACCGTCTATTACAACAATGAGGTCATCGTACAAAGCTTATGATACGTATCCAGCTCCTACTCCTTTAAGGAGATCCCTAACTACGCTGCCATGGAGACCAACCACATACTACAGCGCTGCAAGAGTTGAACCAAGTATCTCAAATACAAAAAGCATGCCTGAACCTTTATCAGACAAAAATAGATTGACCGAATTGGATAGTATCAAGGTAATAAACTGTTAAAAAAAACAAGGTTTTATAAACTATAATAAGCGATAAATATATTTACTTGTAATTCGTATTTTCTTGGAGGCTAATAGAGGCAATCTTTTTCTTCACTATAAAAGAGAGTTAACAAGAAGTTTTTGAATAATTGCAGCTTTAGCGCGGTGTTATTTCAACAAATATCAACTTAAGTTATACTTAAGAAAAAAAAACTCTTTGCCAGCTTTTCATATTTGTTTTACGCTTTTTAGCTTTTTTTCAAAAGAGAGGAATTATTGAATTAAAGCATTAAAAAGAAAAAAATGTGTCAAAAATAATTAGGATATGCTAATAAGTATGAATTAGGCATATAATTGAGATGACGTTACCCAAAATAATTATGACATTGGGTAAATAACGACTGAATTGGAGCCGTTTACATAAACTGAATTGAAAGTACTTGATCTATGAAATAACTAAGATTGATATGTACATATATCATATATGTTAACATTAAACCATTAACTTTGTCTAGTACTACTCAAGTCTCTTTAAAAATTTTATGAATGTTTGTTCATGTCAAGTGAAGATTTTCCTTCTAATATCTAATAAGAAAATAGGATAATTAAGATAGTTAAATCAAGCATTGAATCAAGTTGATTTACAAATGCTGTAGATTTTTTTCATATATGCTTTTGGCATTAATCTAGGGATTACTAGATCCTTTGAGTTTCCCTTGACAGCAGCTCGAGAAAATTCTTAAATCAGATTTAATAGTTTAGATTTATTTTTTTGCCCTATGACAATTTAATAATTTTTATTGTCTTTTCTAACGCAGGTTCCACCAGTGTTTGCTGCAGCTAGAAATGCACTTTATACAAGATATACACCAAATGATTGGTTGGCTTCTAATAGTAGCAATGTTATGGCATCAGATAGAGTTAGAGGGGGTTCAGAACGTCTTAGGTTCGACACTGTTCGCTTGTGTAGGGAAGCTGATGACAAAACCAGACGAGCTCAATCCGATGTTGGTAAAAAATTGGGAGAAAGACTGGGAGATATTCAATTTTGGAAGACTGAGGTTAAGAATGAAACTGATAACATGGTTAACGAAATTGATGCACTTTCTAGGCTAGTATATCTTTTATTATTTATGATGTATAATTGCAATTACTTAAAGTATATACTAATGTTAGGAAATCAAATAGAAAAGTTATTGGTTCTAAGTACTTTATTACAATATAATTAATTAATATTTAATCATATACCTTTAGATATAAATTATAAACAGGAAACTAACTCTTCAAAAAAAAATACTTACACGTCTTAAAAAGATTTAGAATTAATGGAGGAAACACAAAATAGAAATAGTCCTATACCTAAATTATTAACAAATTGATTTTTTTCTTTACATTAAGATTAAAGATAACATATTAAAATTAAATAAAGCGTTAATTGTTATACTAGGATAAGTTTAATTGAATAATTGATAATAAATTCTTTTTTTGTCATTTTACAGATCCAAATCAGTTTTAGAAAAAGCACTTGCAGAAACTGAAAACCCACTGCACATTGCTCAAGAATGTTTGTACAATCGAGAAAAGAGACAAGGAATCGATCTAGTTCATGACAACGTCGAGAGAGAATTGATTAAGGTCGGTAAACACTTAATAGAAAATATAATGATACTAAAGAGAAACGTTTCCCATTAAATATATGCGCAAATGACAATTAAGGTTTTTTCTTCAAGTTCTATTGGTCGTATCATTACTCTTTGATTACCAATCAATAAATGTTACCATGACGATATCAATTATTATAATTTTGATGAGTTTGTATTTTTGAATTATTACAGGAAGTTGACACTATCAAAAGATGCCAGGAAAAGATGAGACAAGTTATCGACAAAGCAAACGCTCAATTGGCGTAAGTTATTTATTTTCTCATTAAAAACAGCTTATCCATAAGAATATTTGTACTGATAATTCAATCAGCCTCACTTCAAGTCTGACTTAAAATTTAATAGACATACAAATTATTTCAAAGAGATAAATTTAAAAAGAATTTATACAATTATGAATAATTGATCCTGACAAAACCATTCATGATAAAAAGGAATTTCTAATAGATCTATTGATAGATTATCAAGTTCGGTACTTAATTGTATTATTATAAATAGATTGAACAGAGCGGCTCAGCACGAACTAGAAAAGGATTCACGCGATAAAGAAGTAGCAACAAATCTTGATGAAACTTGCCATGGTCTAAGGAATACCTCCAGAGGAATAGCCTTCCACGATGGTATTGAGAGAGTCGATAATACAGTGTCCGTTCCAGAAACTTGGGCCAAGTTTTCGCATGATAATGTTGCTAGATCTCAAGCAGAAAGAAAAGCTTCAAAGGACGTCCGCGATCAAATCGAAGCTCTTTTGAACGAATGCTCCTCGGCTATGATGAATCAGTGGAATGTCGTCAATAGCGCTTTCTCTGACAGAATTAAAGAGTACATTGATGCAAAGAACAAACTGCAGAACGCTTTAAGCAAGACACTGCAAGAGGTCTTCGATATGGAAAAGAATATTGAACTGTTGAAAAAGACTATAACCGACAAACAAGCTCCACTTCAAGTTGCCCAAACAAGATTGGCGACAAGAACTCGCAGACCCAACGTTGAAGGTTGTCGCGATCCAGTTCAACACAGGTAATTTCTTGTCAAAACTTTAGGTTTATCTTAATTAGAAAAAACTTTAACTAAATTGACTTTACAGGTTGGTTGAAGAAGTACACGAAATTTCTGAAACGGTTGAAGCTCTTCAAGGCAAACTGAGAGAAGCTGAAAATGCTTTGCAACATCTTCTAAGAACCAAATCATCATTGGAACACGATCTGGCTATTAAGAATAATTCTTTGTTTATCGACAGAGAGAAGTGTATGGGTATGCGTAAAACCTTCCCAATGTCACCAAGGGTCGTTAGCTATTGAAAGTTAAGAGAAAATATTTTTTAAAGCATTCTCTTTTTAAATTTTATGGCACGATCTGTGATAATAATATTTGATTTAAAGCATTAATTTTTTCATACTGGTTTTAGCACTTATATCATCTGTATTAAGAAATATCTACACTAATATTAAGTAAACTAATCTTAAAAATATCAATATATGATATGCAATTAATTTTAAAGTTGAAAAAAGGAAATACTGCAAAAAACAAGTACACAATACATTTTTCCTATTCAATAACTTTATAATTTCTATTGTGACCTTAAAGTATAATATCAAATTTAAGCTTTTCCTTGTTTTTGTATCATTTTTTATTATTTTTCAATATGCTTTTCAATGAGAAGTTAAAATAAAGAAGAAGGCTAAAGAAAAACTTTTGGATTATTTTTCTTCATTTTAATTTTCGGCATGATGACTTACTTATTTTATTATTAGTCATTACATTAATATTTTACGAATTTAATTGTGATATTTTATGCTATGCACCTGGTTTCGAACTGCCTAAAATATTGATTGATCAGTATTAAAAATATCTTGTAATGTCGTTTGTATTGTTTAAATGAGGCACAAACAAATCAAAATTCACGCTTTCATTTCGAATAAATCAATTTAAAGGTATATATTTATATTTCCAAAGGAATATTTATATATCTCTATTTTTGCATAATTAAATGGTAATATTTCGAAGTAAGGGATTTATTTATGAAACATCTAATATATTCCAGCTTTGTAAAGTACAAGAATAACATCTATAGAATTTGTGACGAATAAAATTCAAATGATAATATTCATGTATGATAAATTTAAACGCACATTGCTATTTTTAAGGTAGAAAGTTAACTTAGCAACAGGATAATGTTTTAAAAAGTAGAAATACTGAGGGAAGGAGGCTAATTTGAACAGGGGAATGTGGTTGTTCGTCAAATAGGCTATCACTCGATCGACAGCTATAATTGTACTTAATTATTTAGTATCGTTATGGATTAGCAATTTTCTCTATACCTTTAAATTTATACAGCCAATAAACTGTACCTTTACCGAGATCTAAGAATAAAAGATATTGATGATTCAAACTAAAAGACTAAACATTGATATTTGCTACCGGAAATTTTTTTCTTGACATCTGTACAAAGTAAAAAAATGCTGGAGCCGCCATGTAAGCCAAAATTATTCACAATACATAACTATATTTAGTATCTAAAGGAGAAATTATAGGGGATATATAAATCTGAAACTTTATATACATCTATTTGATAATAGTCTATTATAGAGCTGAGAAACAGCAGACCTAGTAAAATGAGCAAGTTGCTCTGTCACTTCCTATTTTGTCTACAGCTATGCAATCTAATCAATGGTTTGGCTGTTATTGGAGCCGGACTTTCTAAAACTGGTACTACTTCCTTATCTAGAGCTCTAAAGATACTCGGTTATAAGAATCATGATTTTCTTGAACATGCAAGAGAAAGTTTGGCATTTTGGGTGGATGTCTTAGAATTTGAAAAACGTGACATTGACTGGAAGAGTCTTTACAGAGGAATCGATTCAGTGACAGACGTCCCAGCTGCCTATTTTGCTGTTGACCTTGCAAGTGTATTTCCTCAAGCTAAAATTGTGGTAACAGTTAGAGATAAAGAATCGTGGTTTAACAGCTGGTCAAGTCACATCAAATTGAGCCAATCTTACTTTGAGAGCAGCTTCTTAAGTTACTTACACCCATTGATATACAAATTCACAAAACTCGATAGACTTAACAGAAAGTATGTTTACGGTTCAGAAATTGTTAATAAAACAATTTATATTAATAAGTACGTTAAACACTATTCATCTTTAAAAAAGAAACTTTCAAGCGATCGCGTTCTCTTCTTAAAATTTGGTGATAGCTGGGAACCACTATGCAAATTTTTGAATAAAACAATACCAAAGGTTTCTTATCCACATTTAAATGGAGCAGGAGTCCTAAAATATCATTTGAATTTATTTTATAAAGAATGTTGGACGTCATTATTAAGGTGGTTGTGTATCGTTTTATTGCTGTTTTATCTATTCTTTAAAGCTCTTTTTTATAGATTTTATTTGAATATGTCATCACGATTCAAAGTTTTGTCTAGTTTATACATTGATTCAAACTCTTAGGTATTAATGAATCAAACTGGCTTTTTTTACCTGTAAGAAAAAAATCAATAACGTCTTGCAGTTAAAGACTTAGACAAGATATTGGTCTCTGTCATTTATTTACTTTTTGTTCATTTCTTACATCGATATGCTTGTTATTTTATTCAATACAGGCTGTTTAGTCTATTTTTATAATATATACAGCAGATGGCAGTATTATACATGAATAGGATGTGATTTCAGATCAAGCTTGGTTGAACATTGTAATTGACAAGCTTTCATTTAAAAAAGAGATTTACATATTTTCAATGAAATTCTATCCCTATAAAAGACAGATATTAAGAGACAGAAAAAAAATATCAAACACCATAACATGATGCAAAGTACTTTTTGACCAATACTGCACATACATATCAATTTTATGCCTATTATATAAATAACACATATAAAAATAAATTATTTAGTTTGTTGTAATATTATATTTTTGAACGTCAAAATTCACAATTTTCTTCTCTTCATCACTTAACCTCAAATAAGAAAGTTTAAATAGTGTTTTAATTTGTTTACCACTAGAAACGAGAATAAAAATTGGTGCCCTTAAACTTTTATCATTGTTTTTATATAGTTTAATAGCTTCAATACTATTCATAGTAATTTTCTTTGACATGTCTATAATGTTCAGATTTGGAATATTTTTAACGAGAAGTCCAGTAGTATATACATCGTCTATCCAGAAAAATGGTGTTTTTGCGACATTATCTAATAAGAAGGGAACTGCACTTGTTTTTAATAAAAATCCTAGACCAGCACAGTATGGTGGAAAAGTTACTTCACCTGGAAATTCGTAATCTTCAACGCACCATTTCATACAAGTTTTTGGATTTCTTAAAATTGGCATTTGTTTGGCATGATAAAAAGCACAAAAAAGAAATTTTTCATCTTCCTGATACTTTTTTTCTTCAGTTAACTTCCTTATTTCAAAAACGTTCATGAATACATCATCATCACTTTTTAAAGCAAATTTAGCGCTTGGGCATGAATCTCTTAGCCATTTAAGTGCAAAGATGGCTTTCAAGGTTAGATTTCTGTATTGATCTTTGAAGTCACCTTGGATAATATCACCATATTCTTTATTTTCAGTATCGATATTTTCTTGCACAGATGCTGATGACGGCCTCCCAAGGACAAAGACAACCTGGAAATATTTATCTTTGAACAGATTATTGTCGGCCCACGTCTGTCTTAGTCGTGACCTCCGTATAATATTATTTGGTGCTGAATGTACATATATAATTAATGTAGGCTTATTTTTCTCACAAATGTCATTTCCTCTATACACTTGTGGTATTGTTGGAGGAGGATGGGGTGTGTATTGGACCTTCTCCGTAGTCTGCTTTATTGTAATTTGTTTTCCTGTCTCTTTTTTCACATTTTCAACGTCAAGATTGAAAGTTACGTCAATTGTTCCATCAACTTTTCTGTTAAACGATTTTAAAAGTACTGATTTTTCACGTTCGTTTAATGTAGTTGTAGTAGTAGTAGTAGTATTGGACACCTTAGTCAGAAGAAAATTTGCAGTTGAATGAATGGCTATAATAATCAAGCACGCCAGAATTAATTTTTTCCATATTTCACCCACTCTTGCCATAATTTCAGAGTTATCAGCCTAAAAAAATACATTCATCAATTTATCTCTCACTTTATGATATTTACAGCCTTAAATTTACGAGTATTTATTTCAGCCACTAGTTTTGTGATTCGTGACAACTACTATTTCAATTTTAGTACTTTCTAAACCGATTAAACAAGGTATAATAATAATTTTGTAAAGAATAAGTTATTGAAAAAAGTACTGAAATTATTCAAAAATCAAGTTCAAATCTAAAGATTTTATGAAAGTCAAGAGTTAAAAAAGAATAAATTTACGTTTATTTATTAAACTAATTAGTACATTCGAACTGATAGAAACTTTTGAACAGTTAAGAAAAGTTTCGGTCTTACCTTGCTCACAAATTCTTATTCTCAAAAGTGACATGCACGACAGTTGTCAAATTAATCAATTGAAGATGAATATTTTTCCTCCATTAAATTAATTTACGTCACAATCAATAATAAAACTATATTTGATAGCTGATTTATAAAATTTATGTCTCAACTAATGATCATGTACAAAGATGTCCACATCTTAAATAATTGTTGACACGATTAGTATAAAAACTTTAGACCTATTATGCATTAATACTATACTATATAGCAAAGAGTTGAATAGGCCGATAAGCACTAATACATATGTATTATTTTGTTATCAGTCCTATATGTACATATAAATTTTGCACTAAGATATATATACTGTATATAAATATATATATATATATATATATGTATATATATATATATATATGAAAACTGGACAAATTACAAAGAATTGAAGCTTTTTTCTTGATGTCTTGATAAAATTATTTCAAAGTGAACTATCAATATGATTTAAAAATGAATTCCCGCCATTTTTCTTCTACTTTAGGAGATGAAAGTAACTGAAAGTAGGATTTGGAATACAAGTTGAATGAGTGAGGTCAGATGAACTTGAACTTTATTTTGATAATTTGTTTCTTACAAGTAATTTATTTGTAGCTCACTCTTTTCTTACATCGACTGATGTTTTCTCTCCTTGTCTTTTGCTCTCCATAGTGGTTTGGGGATAAAGCAATATATTATATACTGTATATATGAATTATCTCTATGCCCAATTTTTGTCGATATTTCTTGAATAATTCAGAATATGTAGTCAAAATAACACCTGTAAGCTGCTGGTCTTTTAAGCAGTACTCTATGCGTTAAAATCTGATCTTGGAAATGCTTTACCCAAATTCCAAGAACTATTGGCAATATTGAATGCTGAATCATAGCTACATGAGCAAAGGTATACCTTATTATCGACTGATTAAAATTGACAAACAAAATGAAATAAACTAATTAAGTTTTTGATACGCCCTTTCAACAAACTTTTGTTTTATTTACAAATATATATTATACAATACACCGAAATTTATTGATTCACTTTTGTCTATACTAATATTCAGAATAGAGGAAGATTTTTTTAAAATATTAGACAAATAATTTGCACTCAATTCGGGCATAGACTGACAGAGCCATCTGTAGTTTTAAATCAAGTTATAGTCATATTTTTTATGGAAATTTTAAAATATGTCTAAATAAATACTAAAATAATCCTGTAAGATAAAATTTTAATAAAAAAGAGATAAATATATCCTTTATATATATCAAGAATTTGTTTTTATTCAAGATAATTTTCTTCTCTTCATATCCTGATCCTTAGCTTTATTATTCATTTTTATTCTCTTAGCTTCACGTCTATTCAAAGCATTTTCTATAATTTTATATAATTTTTCTCTTTGTTCAGGAGCATTCCTTAGCATTCTTGAGCCAATATTTTTCAAATTTGAAATAGCGGCATCAAGTTCTATATGTAAAAGAAGGGGAAAAAAAGAAGATTTCGTTAATACAAAACATTATTGTAGATGTTCAAGACTACTTACTTTTTTCTACTTCAGAACTTCTTCTATAAGATTTCGTTGAAAAGCTTTTCGCAGTTTGTAGTGGATCAATGTACAGATCGTTGTTAAAAAATTTATAGAGATTCCTTTTCTCCGAACTTTCAGTTTCAATACTTGAAGCTCCCATATCCTGTGTAATACGGATTTTTGCAAAAGTTCTATTGTTAAATGTTGGCCATCCGATTGGTATAGGATGTGGACCGTTATTTGGATTGCTGTTAATCAATAGAAAAAATTTATATTAACTAAAAAGAGAATAAGATACTTATAAAGAATAGAAAATATTTAATTACCCAGTTTTAACAAAGTTGTACCAATAGGCTCTCAAATTATCTCTAAATTTTATATCACCATCCTTCCATTCCTCACCACATTTCAATTCTTTCCTTAAAGTTTCTAGGAAAGGCTCACCGAACAAAGGATAGCAGTCATCAACATGTGAACCGTTTATATATTTCGGATAATCTAAAAATGTCATTTTGTGTTGCAATTCGTAGTTATATGTTCCTTTATCTGACTTATCACTATGGTAGACTGCATCGAGGAAAGAACCACTTCCGAAGAACCAATCAGTTCCCATATCTACAGCGGCTCTGCTTCTTTCAATAAAATCATCGCTTTTCAGATTTGGATATCTGTCTTTAATCGAGAAGACCACTTCATCGTCAATTGGCTTATAAGCGGCTGTTATTAAACTGAGAAGAAATTCTAGAGACTCTTTATCTCCTGCAAAGCTAAGAGCATCCTCATAAAATAACCCTAGAGGATTCAAAATAATCAAACCCCCAGCATCGTCTTTCAATTTACCAGTCATAAATGACACGTTCTTTCCATAGCCTTGTTGCCACATTTCTTTTGGGGGTAAAGGTAAGAATTCCTCATCTACAGTGGGTAACCAAATGGGAAGTGTACCAGCAAATATAACAGGGCTTAGTATAGCAAAGAGATCAATATCTTCAGGTTCTTCCTCTCTCAAACAGTCGACTGTATGTTGCAAATCATCTTCATCATCACAAAAAAAAAATGAAGCTAAATCTAAAGTTCCTTTCTTGATATGTTCCCGTTTTACAACACCAAAGTATCCATTAGCTGAACCGCTATGAGCTATGGCTCTTTTCACTAGTGAACTAGTTTGGGGGCTGGTCGCTGAATGAGATGTCATAACTGCTCCAGCTGATTCGCCGAATATCGTTATTTGCTCTTCATCTCCTCCAAATTTTCCAATATTTTGTTTTACCCACTCCAAAGCCATTTTGCTATCCCAAAGAGCCCAATTACCTTTAGCGCTAGAGTGTGCTGTTGATAAAAAGCCCAATGCTGAAATTCTATAGTTAAATGTCACAACAATAACGTCTCCGTGCACGGCTAAATCTTGCCCTGGATACATGGCGCCTGTCCCTAAAATGAACGCTCCTCCAAAGTAATAAAACATTACTGGTAGCTTCCTTCCGCTGTGTTGGAAAAAACTTTTATTACTCACTAAGACCATAAATTAACCTATTTATAAATTAAGAAAATGATAATAAAAACCCCCTTGACTCTTTTATCAATAAGCATTAAGTCATGCGGACATCCATTTGTCATATGCATATTAAAAATTTATAGATTCTTAGTGTAAAATGTTAAAAATTAGTTAATAAAAATAAATGACCAAACATTCTACAGCATAATTACTTTTCATTGGAGCTTTTTCTGTCCTTTGCTTTTTCCCTATTTTCCTTTATTTCCTATAGTTCTATTGTTATGAAAGTTAAATTTCCATCCCTTTCCCTTTAATTTTTTTTCGCTTTGATGCGCACATTTTTAATAAAAATTTGTATAGATTAGTGATATCTGTCGTCAGATCTAGATAAATTCTTAACTATGAAATAAGTAACACCACTTAGCTTATTTCTGTTTATATGATGTAATTTTTGTATTTCATTACCTGTCTAATTCTCCAGGTACCCAAATATTTAACGACAAACAATCTTCACTGACATCATCGTCCATTCCCAATACAGGATAAAACAAGGCAACAAGCTGGTGACAATGTGGCCCAAACTTAGTAGCGTTCCTTATTCCACTCCAGCTTTCTACCGGTCTCGGTTTCTTAAATCTAAATTCACGCTCGGTTGAAGCCGCATAGGGAATTCCAAGAAATTCATGATAGATCCTACCTAAAAAATAGCAAATTTTTATCAGACCAAATACTTAGAAAGGATAATTTTTTATTGTTTCTATCTTTATCTAAATTCAAATTAATTTATATTGAAAAATAAAAAAGTATAAGAAAATTAAAATATACCATCTGTTATATTGTTGGTATTTCCTCTTACTTTACCATTACTTGTTTCAATAATAGGATGCTCAAGACAGGTTACAAAGACAATGCACAATGAAATTAATACAAATGAATGAGACAGCATCTTTCATTCAAAGTTATTGTACTAATCAAGATCTGCGAATCGAATGATTCTAAATATTTAGCTGACAATGCCTATTTATAGGGATATTTACATCAAAATATCAGATGCTTTCTTGTATTATCTAAAATTGAATGTTGTAAATTTGGCCTAAATGTCAAGGTTTCTAAAAATTGTTTAATAAATTAATTCGAAAGTTAAGTATAAGATATAATATATCAAAATCCATATCAGATAATAAAAAACATATAGCCTTGCTCTTAACATGTTATTTCTTTAAGTGGGTATTCCATTTTTCATAAGAAATCCTTGCAACAATCTCATTATATAGATAACTTATTAGTGGCTTGATACGAACATTTCAGAGATTTTTAAGTTTATATGATTAAAACAAAATTCTCATTAAAGTTCTCTTTACTTCTATAATTCGCATAAGGAAAGTCAAGAACTTGGAAAATGAAAAAGAGACAGATTTTTCCTCTCTTTTGTTAGGAAAATAGAAATGAAGGGTAGACTGAGAAAGGGGAAATTTGTATTTAACAGCAAACAACAAAAAAGAATCGATAGAGCTAATTGATTCATATGTATACAATATATATATAGATAGATATATATATAAGATAAAAAAAGAGAGAGAATAAGAGATTCCCAATTCTAATTTTGCACAGAATATAGACTATTTTAAAAATGAAAATCACATATTGACAAAAAGATAAAGGTAACATTTCTTGTTATCTTAGTGCATCCGAACGTTTGATAAGGTCTTCTTCAAGATAAAATGAAAAATAATTTTTATCCGATAAAATGTCTTGTCATGTTTTTAAGAAATTATTGATAAGAGAGAAACGATGGAGAAATAGATAAATTATCAAAAGATTAATACCCTTAAATGAGAAAAGTTTCTATTTCTGATATGTTAATTAAATGAATTTAACAAAGGAAACAATGGAAATAAAGCTATTATAAGAATAATTGAAGAAATTAAATGAATAAGACATGAGAAATGGGAAACTATGAACTCTTTTTAACATAATGTGTAATGAGCATTAGCATTATGGTAAAACGTTCCGGACTGTGGTTTGAGATTAAAAGTTATTAATTTATTCAACCGTATCTGATCAGTATATTCACTGCTCTAAACGAAATAGTGGACGATGGAAATACTAAAGGAAAAACAGTGGCTTATTACTCCATTGAAAATATGTTCTATTAATGTTATAAAGAAAATCTATTGCAATACTTAATTAGCATTAATTTTACATTATTTTTCAATTTTCAGTCTTTGATTATCACTATCTTCGGGGGATTGTTTAACATATGTCCCTTGACCCTTATAACCTGAGACATAGCCCTTATTCTCAGCACGATATTCTCGACCATCAATTCCTCTTCCTGTTCCGTCAGGATTAAAACGGTGCTTATGAGATCCCGTATATTTGGAAACGTCCGTCAATCGATCAGTGACGCTCTTGTTAGCTGTTATGCTCTTTAGTTGCCTTTTTTGATTCTTTAATAACTGACAAAATTCGTTTATTGCATCAATGCTTTCACATCCTTTGGTTGCTTTAGAATAGTCTTTAGACACGACTAACAACACTTTGAATAGCTGAAATTTAATTAAATTGACATTGAAATTATTATCTACGTGCTAAATACATTTTATGATTTGATGAAGTTCAATTATAAGCTCATGGAAAAGATGATTCCACCATAAATGGATTATATATTGAAAAAAGTCTTAGTCAACATATATTGTGAATTGTCCACAGATGGCGTTGTACATGGACTGCTAGTGACTGTGTGCAAATTTTTCATTCGGATCTGTAATTAGACTTTATTGACTCGTACAAATGTATGCTGTAGCTTCTTGTAAATTTAATAACTTACAGTTTATATAAAAATTATCTATAAGATCTATGTTTCAAATGGTTGTATCTAATATAAGATAATTTATGCAGAACAGAAATATTACGACTTGTTTTGACTTTAGACTTTGGACAGAAAGGGGAAAAGATATTATCTGTTTAACGATATTTTTGTAAAAAAAATATTCTTTACCTTGGGATAAAAGATCTAAATTTCGCTCATATCTACAAAATTTCGGATAGTTTTCTCTAGTTAAGACAGCAAAGGGCCAAAGGCAAACTGGAAAATCACATTTTACCTCAAAATAAAGACAAATAAACGATAAAAGACGACCCGATCAATTACAAACTAGAGAATGTCGATTGCATCTCATTTATCTGAAGGAAAAATAAAGTCTTGAGACAGATAAAATGAAAGAAAAGGGTATATATGAGATGTGAAAATTCATATCATATTTATATTCAAAACATTCTAGTCTTCTAATATGATGTTTATAAATACAGAAACCAAGTATAGTTGTTTCTAGCAGAGACACACTGATATTAAAGAAGGACAATAAATGAATGAATAAACTGAGAAAAGAAAGCGATATACAGATGAAAAGTCTCGAAGGAAAGACTAGAAATATGTCAATATTCCCAACAGAGGTCTGTCAGTCAGTTCTGCTATTGAGTACCAAAACTGATATGATCAATATACAAGCTATATAAATTTAATTAATGAGCTAATATTAATATGAATTATCAAATATGCATTTTACGTTTTGCTATTGTTTTATGATTACGCCGGATAGGTTTGCCATATAAACCGCCCTTACTAAGATAATATAAAGAATACAATAATGAGGATAAGATGAATACGATTTACTATGTATAGATATGCTCTTTACATTTATGATAAGGATGGATTCAAAGAGTTTATCAGCGGTTTCAATAGTTATAATTATTCGGTTAGTCTACAGAGAACCCTATGAGAAGATAAAGGTTCGATCTCAAAGGATATCGAACACTCATCATGTAATGTACAACCTCAACGAGAATTGCAGTTCGAGTCACCTTTTATTCGAGAAACCCTAACGAGGTCTCTTCCTTTGAGGTTTCTCTATTCCCAGAACACGAATGTGTAAGCGTAACTTCCTCAGGTGACATATTCCTCTCTCAACCCGTATTTTTCCGTTACAGACTAATAAGCATTCCATAGCTCATAATACTGTATCACTTTGAAAATTTACAAAAACACTTAATATAGTTCATAGGTTATTCAATTAGCTATTTGTTATTGATAACGTTACTTAGGCCCATCTGCCAATTCTAGTATATAAAAATAATTATAATTTTTAATATATTATCCAGTGCATATATACTACTTTATATATATACAGTATATACCGCATATAGTGAGAATAGTTTTCGAACTCATGTATTGTTTAATCAATATTTTTTAACTAGTTGCCTATAAGTTTCATTCATAATTAAATTCGAGTCAATTACAGTTTTTAAAAAAATTCTTACTAGAAAGACATGTCGTTTTAAATATAAATCTTCATGCATATACTGTTTCTCTTCATACATTACCCAAAACTTTCGTATATTTAATTGTTATGAATTTGAAACTTTTGTCCGAATGAAATTTGACTACAATTATATCGCCATTATATATTTTACCGTTTTAACTCTATTAAATAAATAGTCTATTGAAATCGTAAAATAAAAATAATTCTATCCGAATGTAAATTGAAAAACGCTAATCCTTTCCCTTGCCAACTCCTAAATCTTCCGCCCCCTTCGCCTTTCACTCTTTCCTCTCAACGCTGCTCCCTCTCTCCCTACCTCTCTATACACTTTTTACTACAGACAAGCGCTCTATTTTACCGTTGTCCTCTTGTTTTTACAACTCTCACAAACCTACTTAACAGAATAGCAAGAGAACTCTTTTTGTAAACTTACGTCTGCTTTTCTGAAGCTCGTTCTAACTCCGGCTTTAGTATAAGCAATATCATAACTACCATCGCTCCAACCTCCCTCAAATAAACCAGCATCCCTTAGCCAAATTTTTAGCATTTTAGTCATCATCGTTTCCTTATCCGATTGTGCATACGATTTATATGCCTGCTTAAAGTCTGGATCATTGATAAGTTCTCTAATTAAACTCTCTGGTTTAGTGCTTTCTGTTGTTATAGACATACTCAAAGTTATTAATGTTCTTTATCTTTCCTTAAATAAAAAAAAATGTTTATACATTTTAATATTTATATAATTGTTTTGTTCTCTGTACTCATATTCCTATGAAATATTCTTTATATATAACAAAAGAAAACAATAGCATACTTAAATTATTTAATAATTATTAGTTTTTATAGTTATTTTTTAGCCTTTTCAACGTATTTTTAAAGAGGCTGGTTCTAATATTGTTTTTCAACTGAAAAGCTTTTTATTTTAAAATTTAAAATTTGATTTTAACGAAGTGATTCTTATCATTTTAGTTTGACATATGTATCGTGCATATCCACACACGCACGGACATATATATATATATATATATATATATATATATATATATATATATATTTATGGTATATTGAAAATAGATGGAAAGAGCATAGGAATGGACAAGATAGAGTAGTAGCAGAGTAAAGGATTTTAAGAGCTTCTCTTTCGTTTTTCCTGGATAATGGCTAAAAGTTTCAAAATAATGTATATATTTTACCTATTGAAGATTTCATAAAGATGAAGGAAAAAAATAGCGAATCTGTAATTAGAAACGAAAGCTCATGATGTGTGGCGCATGGTCGGGTATTTTTAAAGGTCGCATTTTGTGCATTAACGGTAATTTCGTTAGTATAGACCGCCGTTAGGTGGCGTTGTCAAGTTGCGCATAATATACTTCTTGTCTCGACTTGGTTGGCACCAGAAAACATGTCGAATTCGACGAATTCGTCGGAATGCTCTTCAGATATGGAATGGTATATCCAGGTACTGTAAATAAAAAAAGAAAAAAAAATCACCTTCAAAGAGGAATATCTATTAATTAATTTTTTATTAATTTTCTTTATTATTAATTTAACAATAAAAATTATGCGGCTGCGAGAAAAAAATTAACCAATAAGATTTCGTTTATATAATTGTAAAATAATTTTAATTAGCCTGATATTTGCATCTGAGAAAGTTTAAAAGTGTGTTTATTAGAAATTAAACCAGACCATAATTGATTACAAAATGGACAATAATGGATTTGAGTATATAATCAAGATTAACTGACTTAATACAATATAGTGAGTTTTCACAGTTGCAAATATAGATTTTAATCAATATCTTCTCTCTTCGTTTATTAATGGATTAGGATTAACGATAAATAAAGCTTTTGATCAGTTAATAAAATAAGGTCTACATTTTGCTCTATTAATTTCTCTTTCTTTCGTTTATTTTGCAATAAAAAAACATTCTAATTATACAAATATAAACAAGGAATTAACAATACTAATTACAATGCTCTCACAAAAAATGGATTTTTTACAACAATTACATATACTATTTATGTATTTTCCTGATCTATTAGAATAAACAACGATTATAGGAAAATTTATAAGAAGCGGTTATTGTCACGCCAGTTCTTACATGTGATACACTACATAAGCGCGCCTTGATAATCTGTATGCTTAAAGGGTTTGTATTCACTTTCATAAGGACAATATATCCTTTGAAATACCTTTTATCAAGCAAAAATCTTGCCTAGCAGGCGGTATAAGCATAGAGTAATACAATATAGGCCCAAAAGTCTTGTAACTCAAATAGTTACAGATTTTTCATACAATATACAATAGTAAAAATATGTAAATACCCTCTCCCTCAAAAAAAATAAAAAATTAAAAGTCCAACTATCAATTTAAGATATAGCAAAGGAAACATGAGTATAAGACATTTTTTAAAACATCTAGGCTATATATATACAGTATATACCTATTGTAGGGAAATATAAAGTAGAATGATGAATGAATAAAAAAAGATGACAAAATCAAAAAAAGAAAAAATTTGTCCGTCCCTCTTAATGTTCAAACTTTTTATGTCGAATGTAGAGAAGGAGCAAAAGAGAGTAGAGCTTTCATCAAAAGCAATACTGTCTTTGAATGAAATATTTAAAAAAAATCATATGCAATACTGTTATTAAATTTAATATATCTCCTACAACTTTATGCCTACTCCTACGCAATATCTCTCTCTCTCTCTGATTTATCAATACAAATAAGTTAATTTATTTAAACATATTGTCCTTTCGTAAACAATAATTATGGGATGTTTTCTCTACATATAAATATAAATTACAGTGTAAAGTATACTATCTATTCACGGAATATTATTTTTTACGAGATTTTCCTTCATTTTAACACTAAAAAATTAGACTTTAGGGAAAAATTAATACACCAGCTTGCAAAAAAAGTATTCAAGTGTACAGTATTAAATATGTACTTAAAAAAAGAGAGAATGTCTATGGGAATGATATTGATTATTAAACATTTTGCAATAGATTCTTCCAACAAACAGTTTTCCTTTTTTTTCACTATAGTTGAATAAATAGTAAAAAAAGTAGAAAAAATACTATTATTTGTATATTTAATAAGGATTAATCACAAGATCTACTCCATTGATAAAAATAATCTCTTAAAGAAAATATAAACTTTGCAGTTATTTTATTATTGTTAGACTTTTCTTTCTAACACCTTGATAACGCTAAAAAGAAATATGTATTTGCTTTCTTAACATTTTGGTTTTTATTTCATTAAGATGCAAATTCCTTAATTAATAATCTTTCATACTAAAATAATAAGTTGTAGCTATTGAGAGAAAATTTTTTTTTGCATAATTGAAGGTTAATTACTCTTTAGGTATGCAAAAAAACTAAAAGAAGAAATTATAAAATACCTAAAATCTCAGTTGTTAAATATAGAAAGTAATAATTCAAAATTGATAATTCAGCAGATTGTATCTTAAAATATAACAATATGTATATTTTACGGCATTTTGTTCTTCACCTACACATATATTCACAATTATTAGAAATATATAGTATGTATATACAGTTTATATACAGTTAATATAATGTATATGTACGTATGTATGTGTGTATTTAGGACAAATATAAACTGTAAATCTAAAAATAAAATTTAATAAAATACGAAAATTTACAAATTTGACAATCTGTTATAGTTTATTGTGTAGGTATACAGCTATATTTGTAAATATTTCTTTTTTAATATTTCAGTCTTTAAAGTGTAAAAATTGGATATTAATATATAAGCATATAATTTGTTTTAATAAACGATTTAATTAAATTATATACAGAGCTTGTAATATTTTGTTCGACAAAATTTATATGACTGAAGGTTGATTGTTATTTGATAAGAGATGGTCATTGTAATAATCCCTGAATTAATTTACTTCGTTACTATACCATTGTTTGAAATAGTATTTCATTACATGAAATTTTACTAGTTCATCAACATATTTTTCTATTATCAAAGAATTCCTAATCTTATTTGCTATTCTATGCATATTGTTCTTTAATTTATTCTACTTGTAGGTGTTAATTGTAAAAGAATTTCTACATAGTATCATCTTTTGTCTGTATTTGCAGTTACCGTTCATAGTGGCATTCATGGCGATGATTACCATTGCAGCTGTAGGCAATATTATTGTTATCTGGATAGTTTTAGCTCACAAAGTAAGTTTTTTCCCATCAATTCAGAATTCAAAGTAGATAGGGAACATAGCAATTGAAGCAAAGCCTTAAGCAATGCAACGAATATCTACTTAAACCAAATGGTGTGGGAGAAAGGGAAAGAGGGGGAAAAATAGGTTTTAGTGAGAGAGGAAGCAAACGAAGAGGGGTAGAGTGGGTATTGGACATGGAATAATTTTTGGATAGTATGTTCTGCTAGTTCATTTTGAATATTCCCGGTGGATGATAAAACATATTAAACGTATTGATAATTTTATAACAGAGAATGAGAACCGTTACGAATTATTTCCTAGTCAATTTGGCTATTGCCGACGCATTAATTTCCATTTTCAACGCCTTCTTCAACTTCCTTTACATGCTCAAGGAGGATTGGTGGTTTGGTTCCGCCTTCTGCAAAACCAGTATGTTTTTAGCGCCCTGCACAATCACAGTTAGCGTATTAACGTTCATGGCGATTGCTGTGGAGAGGTTTGTCATCCGAGATACACTAATACATTAAATTTAATTTAAATTATTTTTTATTAAATATTATACTTTATTTATGCCAGATATATAGCTATCGTACACCCATTAAAACCCCGAATGTCGTCCAAGTCGATATTATTCAGTATAGCCCTTATCTGGTTAATATCGTCGATTATATCCGTGCCAAATATATTCTTCGCTCAGCTTAAGAAGCAGGAAATTTGCGAAAAAACTCAATGCATGTTAACCTGGCCTGATCAGGATGACGATTACAGTAAACTTGGATTTGCGTAAGTAAATAATTAATTAAGTGTTTCTATTTCATACATAATAATGCAGTTCTTTTTAAACTATGTACTATTGGGGTCTATATCAACAAGTTGAATGGGTTTTTTTAAGTAGGCCTAGGAGAGTAATTATCCTGAACCGATTGGATAAATATATAAGGATTATATGTATATTTCAATAATTTTTTTCCTTCAAAAGAGAAAGAAAAGGGAAATAATAAAAGTGTTATTTAGAAAGGAATTATTAAGCGTTTAGCAATTCTAAATAAATAATAGAAAGAATAACGAAAAACCTATACGAATGGGAAAAATTTAGTAGAAAAAAAGAAATTCTATTAGAACTTTACTTTAAAAATTACGTCCGTGATATCATTTGTAAAATCTTATATAATTTATTACAACTGACTACGACAGTATTACAAAAGCCTTTTACTATGGTTTAATCCATTATGCGCAAATTACAACTCTATTCTAATCTATTTCTCCTATATTATTATTCTTTTAAAAGACTATATAGTATATATCAGAGGTACATACAGCAAACTTATAGCTTATAATATGAATCAATGTAGGTTAACATTATTTATTGATTATTTATTTAAATTTAAAATCTATAAAAGGTGTCTATTTATTTTTAATCTCTCGTTTTTCAATCATTGAAAAGGTAATGTTAAAGAACACTATAACTCTGCTAAATTTTAACTTTCCTATCATATATTAAAAATGTTAATATATAAAATTACCTTTTCCTTTTAGGCATTTTATTCTTAATAGGTTTAATTGATAGGTCACTGATCTCTTATATCTATTCTCTTTGCACAATTTTTTTTAAGTTTAAAGTAGAAATTTCTTCTTTTTTTTGAATAAGCCGTCTGCTATGACTTTTATGAGAAATTAAGCTAAAACTTTTATTCAATATATTCCATTCATCAGTTTTCAATTGTATATTGAGCAGCTTTAGAATTCAATCTGATATTTGATCTATTATAGGAATTAACAAAGAGAAGAATACCTTATAAAACCAACTAACCTGGCAAGATTTTAGCACTTTTTCGGGTGTTTAATCGATTTCAAAATATTCTAAAATTATAAGCGCTCATTGTCTAGTAACCTAGTTACCTATTTAATACTATTTTAATGGGTCTATTAACAACGTTAGGGTAAGATGACTCACAATACTAAACGCTTTCATCCCCTTAATGTAATAACGTAAGCAGCCATAATATAGAAGTTGGAGTCTAACTTTTAGTGTTAGAATCGAAATATTTTAAAGACGAGAATTATTAACAGCTGAGGAGAGGAGAGAAATGAGAAATTTGAGTAAGAGAGAGGAAGAGGATTAGTAGACCTTGTCAAATAAACCCTTTTGTTCCCTTCTTTATCTTGACAAACCAAACTACAAATAAACTGATTGCTAATAAGTTAGGGTTTTCTTTGATAGGAAAGTGGGTCTGATCAACAATACAGGATGATCAGTTTAAATATGTAATAGATCGTTCACGTGTACTACTCTTTGCCTTAACCCTTTCCCACGCTTTTTCCTATAATCTATGTTATACAACTCACCTCTACTCCATTAATCTTAACGTCTTTCTCTTTCTCGCCCTTCCCTCTCAACCGCTTTGTCTTATTTATTTATATAGGTTTTTTTTAATCTGGTGTATACAAGAATGTCAGCGACACGAAGCGTTTTAGTCAAAACGCCTGAAGCGGCTTTTATTGCGGTTGGGAGATTTTACTCATACTCACTTCCCACACTTTTTCCACTTTATAACATTTTTCAATGCCGTATTAAAACTGAAAAAATGCTTAAATGTAATGCTTTTCTTATAATAATCAAAATCCTCAGTTTTCGAGGGATATATGTTTGGTTGCATAAATCAATGTCTCATTGATTCAAGTAATAGCAAATGCTTTTATAATATCCATTTAAACATTTAAAAAAAAGTCTCAAAGATATCAGCCTACTTTAACATACACTTGATAGAAACAAACGGTGAAATTTAATGAGTAGTATTCTTGCGTGTAAGGTATTATTGTTACTGCAAAAAAAACATTATACAGAACTGAAAAGGTAGATTTTGTAATCTTCTGTGAAATTTTTGCATATATATTGAAAGAAAATGGGCGTGGAAAGGGGTTTTAAAGCTATATATAGAAAATACTATATATTTTGTTACTCTATTACAAATAGAAAGCCATTGAATAGTTAAGTAATATTAAAATGCTAGTCATACTTTGGCTAAATAAAATTACTAATATTTTTTTAAGTTTTACAAAGGAAAAAATGAAATTGTTTAATTATTTTAAACTACCCTGCTCTACTTCCTCCTCTTCCTCCCCCTCATCCTCCTCTTCTTCTTTTTTATAACCTTTCTCTCCCACCGTAACACTATAACTGGTTTGTTGTGACGTTACAACACAGCATCTTCCAGTCAGATCTTTATTAAAAATGATGAATCGAGATGGTGGCAAAAAATTGTGACTTAATCGATTGAGCTACTCTCCCTTACCATTCCTGCAAGAGAACTTTCGAATGAATAAGTAGTCTTACAGTGAATAGCAAGATCTGATTAGATTTCTTTAAAATAGCTCTACAAGCTTGCTTTCTCCAAAAAAACATTGACTAAACTAAACGATCACAAATAAGAAATTTATGAAAGATTTTTGTTTTTTGTGAAAATGATTGATGAACCTTTTTCCCCTTTCCCTTTTCCCTAAAATTTTGTAAAACTATTATTAATTAGTATTTAATTAAATAACTAACTGTCCAAAATATAAATCGTTCTTTGATTTTTATTAAGCCTAGAGAGTATTGAATGATATTAGATTTCATTCATAATTTACACATTAATTCCGATTTTCTAATAAAAAATAGACCAATTCTAATGTTTTTTCAATACTTATAATAATATTGACCATGTTTAAAATATCATTTTATTATATAAACGTACAGCCAATTGATAAAGAAATAGGTAGTCACTTAGACAGATATGTAGGTTAGGGAAAGAAAGAAAAAAAGACAGCTAAAGAAAAGAGAGATAGAAAAAGAAGACGAAGACGAAGAAGAGAGAGAGAGAGAGTGTGTGTGTGTGTGTGTGTGTGTGTGTGTGTATATTACATAAACTACCCTATATCAGAAGTAGTAATGTTAAACAGCTGAATAAGAAAATCTTAGGACAAATTTACTTCTTTCGGACGTTTCCTTTACAAAAGATTGTAATATGAGATTTAATGTTATTTTACTATTGATAATAATTTGAACATAATTTTTTATCATATATTTATTGATATAACTGTTAAATTGTATAGTGGTGTAGCTTTAAAGTAATAACAAGCCTCCGAGGACATTAATTTCAATTTATGCGATGCAAGTTGTTTGCCTAGAGATAGTACGGTTTGCTAGAGTATGTTTGCCATATAAAGTAATGATAATAACCAGATCTGTACACTATTGCTGAGTGGAATAGAGTTTTTTGCTTCATTCAAAAAAATTACATATATATATATTTCCTAAATTAATATCGGAATTATAATAAACTAGTATGCATTAGCAAATTCTATCTTGAGTAGGCATGCTAATTTTTTAATATGACCTAAAATGAGTAATTTTTAAAAAGGCATTTCTTATTATAAGCTTTTGTTATGCTTTTCTCATATAGAGATAGTAATTACCATAGTTAATATGAATATAGTTCCAAAGCTACTGTTGTCTATCACATAAATGAAAATCTTCAAACATTTAAATATTTTCTAATTAAATTTCTTTTAAAATTCTGTTTGTACAGAATAAGACACAAAACAAAATATACGGTATATCGTCTATCTAAATTTATACTATTTTATATATAGTATATAAACTTTGGACATAAAGTAATAGACTAGACGACTCTTCTTGTTGTTTCCGTTTGTAATCTTTTCAATCAAAGGGTAATAATCAGTTCTATTTTGCGCCTAAAATCTAACAAGTCTTTCTTTGTCACATGGCTGAATGTATAATATAATGTGAGAATTGGTTTGATGAAATAGATAAGATAAACTCCAATAAAAGGTTCTTTAGGCAGAAAAATGAAAAAAACTATCTTTAATGTATAGAAATCTAATCGAATGAATGAATTTTGACTTTGAACAGACTTTATATTTCCTTTTTAAAATAATCTTTATCAATTCATTGGTAGTCAACTGGCTTCAGTTGCGCGACATCTATCCAAAATCAACACTCTAACTATTCGCCGAATAACCGAGCTGACCTTTTCCTTTTTATACTATTAGATAACTGTTAATTTAAAGGTCATCCTTTTATGTATATATATATTTCATTATGTCTATGGAATTATTCATAAAAGAAAAGATATAAGCAAATTTATGGCATAAACTTAACCAGTTTACAGATGGCGCTAAAGTCTCTTGATGTAGGATAGGGAAAACAATATTTAATGAACAAGTCCCTTTTCTTGGTTGCTAATTAAGATTGGCAGTTATAGTTCTTTGCTTGTTTATTAGTAACAATTTAGGAATTCAAGTAGATTTCTCTAATTCTCTTGCTCATTGGATATTTCCCAACCGTATTTGCCTATTTACTAAGAAAAAGTGTAATTTACATTGGAACTAAACGCGATCAGACTGAAAACAGCCTAAAATAACCATTTTAAAGCATAATTTAATCATTAATCAACTTATCATAAGCCCAAAATTTTGTTAGTAGTGATTGTCGGTAATGATATGTCAGGTCAAGTTCAGGTCAAGTTCAGACTCTTACTTATAGCTATATTTTACGTTTATTAATTTACAACAGCGAAACTTATCAAAGATATTTATTTTCAACAGTTATGACGTATTCCTGATGGTTTTGGAATATTTCCTACCACTAACCATAATCGCAGCCACTTACAGTCGAGTAGGTTTAAAATTATGGGGAGGTGACGTCATTGGCGAAACTACTTCTGTTCAGGCAATAAAATCGAAAAGAAGAGTAAGACAGAGAAGATTTTATTGTTGATAATTAATAATATATCTTCTTTTTTTTGTAGATTGTTAAGATGATGATAATCATTGTAATTATATTTGGTATATGCTGGCTACCGCAACATCTTTATTTTATACTCATCAACATAAATAATAACATTAATAGCCATCCCCATATTCAAGAAATTTATCTAATCATATTTTGGTTAGCTATGAGTAATTCAATGTACAATCCCTTAGTCTACTGTTATATGAACGCAAGATTTCGAGCTGGTTTTAAATTTATATTTAGATGGCTACCATGCGTACAATACGATAGGGGATTAGAGGGAAGCCGAGGAACTGTGGTATGGTTACGCAATTCTCACACGGCAATTAATCAAGGCCATAGCATGGCTACTACTAGCCTAGATAGTTATTCTAAGAATTGCAGTCAGCAGCAAAGATTGCTAAAGAATAGAACAGGTGGAAATTAGTTGATCAATTATAAACAATTTCATTGATAATTAATAATCAAGCGAGAGATTAGCTAAATAAAAACGAATTAAAATATACAAAACATATACAGACATTATGAAAAAGGATGAAAAAAACAATTTTTTAGATGTTGTGTATGTTGATAAATGTTGTAGTGCAGTTTGTTCAATAAAATAAAAACATTTACTGAATTAAAAAGAAAGGAAAATCTTAAATGGCAAAACAATTAAAAAAAAGTCTATATGAAAACTGTAAAACTGTTGTTAGGATGAAAACCAGAAAAAAAAATACTGTATAAACCGTAATAGCCATCTGGAAAAAAATGTGACAAAGCTAAATTAAGACTAAAGGCTGTGCCTTGCCAAATTTGATTTTTGTCCACTCTGCACTGAAGCTGGATTGCTAATAAGTTTGCTTGTTGCTGATGACATGCAGCCTTTCAAGTTGTCTACCGTAATATTGTCCATTTGTTTGATAGCCAGTACATGGAATTTCACAATACCAAATGTTAATTGATAACAATTGAAAGATGGACAATCTTCTTTTCCTGATTTTAGTTTAATACAATTTTTCTTTATATATGTCATTTAAAGTGACATTTTATTAGCCAATTAATTATTCTTGTTTAACTTACTCTTTATTAAAATAAAAATAAAGAGAAATTCAAGAACAGTAGAGTTAACTACTCTTCTTGACCAAAGATCTAACCATTTGCAATTTCTATATTAAAAAGTTATTTCATAGATGGCGCCAAGCTAGCACTTGATATTCAGGACCAGTTGCATTTAATTCGTCTCTTTCCACCTTCTCTTCTAAACACACTTAGCATTGTTATACGATCATTATGAGATGAGCAGAGGAAATATTGTTTACTATTCATAGAAGAATAAGAATACACTCTGAGAAAGAATAGAATAAAGCATACCTCTAAATAATGTGAATTTGAGCCCTATATAATTAAACTTACATCAGCTCTATCCAGACTATATCAATATTATCCAGAACACAATTTACTCATTTTTCTTCACTAAAATCTCATTTTCTTTTTATTTTTACTTCCCTCCTTATGATTTATTAGTTTAGAGCTCCATTAACTATAATTATGTAATAATACCATGATTTTTTACTAAACAGGTGCTATTATTTTGCTTAATTATTATTCAACTGATTAAGAGTTTATCTAGAGAATTCCATTAATTCCTTTTCGCTAAAAGGTTTTAAGTAATAAGATATGTTGCGCTCTTCTTTTCTACTATAATCTTCCTATGATTTTATCAACTCAAATATTTTCTTCCCTAAGGTTTTTTTAATTCAAAGTTTCCTGAACAAGTTGAATTCATGCTTAAATTCCCAATAAGTAACATTTATATTACTCACACGTTAAAGTAGTGTTTGTTAAGCCTCGCTTTATCATTCAACCTACACACTTCCGTGTTTAACTACTCCTATTTTCACCCTTTCTTATTCTTTATAACTCTTCTCTCTATCACCTTCATTCTTTTATTCTCCTCCTCCACTCTTTTTTTCTCTTCCCTCCCCCCTTTTCTCTCTCTCTCTCTCTCTCTCTCTCTATTATTCTGTTTATTTCTATCATCTCTCATAAATAATCTTTGCGTCTTGTCTTAAAAGGGCCAACTGTTATCTATAGGCTAAATTATTCTATTGTACTACAAGTCGTTCCCCCCATTAACATTCCTGTTTTAAACATTGTAAATGACAATTTAATAAATCCTTTGTTGAACTTGTACGATTGTTATTGAATTCATAGAATATTTTCTTGTATCAAGAGCTCCAAGAAAAAATAGCAAAGCGCCATCTATCTGTACCTAAACACCCACACGTGAAAAAAAAATCCTATCGTTAAATTTTAGATTCAAGGTTTGAATTGACATTGATACATGCTTTGGTCAGTAAGTTACACTTAGTTTATTCATTATTACGTATAATTAAATCATATGAATTCAAAACTTTCTTTCCCTCTATTTTTTACATCAGTAATTTTTTTCTGCTATTTTCTTTTTATATTCTATTTTATATAGGAAGATATTAAACTCTCTTTTAATTATAAAACAAACTTTGCAACCTATTTGGTCTTAGCTGAAATTAAGTACTTTGAATAGAAAACTAAAGTATATTTTCTTTCAACAAATATTTTCTTACTATTGCTCAATTTTTGATGATTCGTGTCTATGGTATTTCTCCGCATTATCCTCGTATTAAAGACTATTTTTTTGTAGAGGACTGTATATCAATCATATTCAAAATTAGGCCTACATAGCTATTTTCGATTAAAAAAAGTTGGTGTAATATAAATGAATCGACAGAAAAGGTAAACAGAAATTGAATAGAAGAGGCCTCAATAAGCAAACTCTTTGCATTCCCTCAATTTTCTTTTAACAGGAAATTCTTACGTACGCAAATTTGACCTAATCGAGTATTATTCTTAATAGTTGTCTTAAATTTTCTTTACTTTATATATTGTTCTATACAGGCGTCTTGGACAGGCAAAGATGTGGATGAAAGCTCTTTTAGTCTGTTCTATCTTTTTAATTGCTTCAGGTAAAATGAAATTTTCTTTAAATAACTTTGAAATCTTTTCTAATTTTCCATTGTGAAAAAAGGTGGAGTGATTAAAGAGGACCCAACAACCCCTCTAGTCTCATCTGCTCCACAAGCTACTGAAGTCCCAGATCCAGTGTCTAATAATGCTGACAAGGAATATAATACCACAAATACTAACGACGTGGATGACAATGTAGAAAAAGAAGACACCGTGTCTCCAACTGATATTTCAGAAAATGCTTCTGATAGTCATTCCTCAGAAACAGATGAAGAAACTACAGATGGTGAAATCAAATCTGGCGAAAATGAACACTCTGAACAAACTACTTTAATTGAAACGCCAGAAAAAGAAGAACAACAATCTACCCCTCTTCCTTCTACCGGTGATGATACCGCAAGTTCATCAACAAATTTAGTTACGATCTCAGGTCAAACAACAACTGATTCTCCCATTAGAAATAACGGCTCAATTGGTACTGGCGGCTCGTCGATACTTCCAGGCTGGTTCGAACCAAAGGAAAAGAAGCAAATTATTCTCATCAAGGAAAATGAAAGAGATGACGACATTCTGCCCAAGCAGATTAAATCATCATTTGCTGTTTCTAAAGATGAGAGCATTAAGTTGAACTTGAAAAGAGTTGAAAATATAAAAGCTTTCCCAACAATACTCGATGAAGACGAAGCAAAAAAAATTTTAAACAATTTGTTTCCATCTTCTATAAAGGGAGATGGAAAGCCTGTTTTTAATCTTGGAGTCTATCAAGATAAGGATAACCATGCAGCTATGATTGTTTCAGGAGCAAAAAGAGGCTCTGTCACTCTTAGATCTATGGTCAGTTCATGTTATTTCATTTATTTTACGGTCATAAATAGGAAAAAATATTCACAAACCTAAGACCTTCTATTATTCTAAAATTAGCGAAACTATAACATCAACTCATCAGAAACTAATTTGCATAAATTGTTAAATGAACAATTCAAACGAACAGAATTGTTAGCATTTTTCCCTATAATTCCGCCGGAAATAGAATAAAAAAGGACTAGGTTACCGATTATCTCTTTTATGCTGAATGAATATATCTTGTCAATTTTTTTCGTAAGGAATTTCTAAATTGACTCAGGTTGGCACCATTTAGGCCTTCGAGAAATAGCATTCTTTTAAAAGAGCCTCTACTTTTTGAACTATCAATAAAATGTTGAAAGGTTTAAGAAAGGAAAAATGCTTTAAGTAATAAAATTTCTATTTTTTATGTGAGCATAGAGAGATAATGCAAAAGTATTTCACATTTTCCTTAAAATTATAGATACACTAGTTTTTGTAAAAAGAACTTAAAAGAAAAAAAAGAGCGTGGGCATTCGAGACTTCTCGAGAAAAGATAAAATCCAACATTTTACGTTCTTGTCAAAGCGTATAGCTCTTAAATATATTTTCTTATAATAAATATCAATAGTAATTCCAATTAATATGACAATTGATAATCAAATTTAATCTCTATGAATAATACAGGAAGTTTTTCTTCAAGGAAACTGAACTTTAAAAATGATTTTGTTATACAAAGGAATGTGCTGATCTAGGTGTTTCACCTTTGTTTTTAGGTGTATTTTATAGTTAATGTGTCATGTACTTACCTGCTCCTTTCATTATAATATAAAAAGAGATTTAATATCTATTCATGCTATACTTTTTTCTCTTAATCAGTAAGACGAAAGAATCCTTTTTTGTATTGCTACTATGGCTTTTTTGCGTTTTAGGAAGGAAAGTTTGTCATGAAAGAAAAGAAGTATAAACTCACAAAAATTGAAAAGAAAGACTTTAGCAACGAACTAAATGGCTTTCCTGAAAATAATGATCCAGTAAAAGATGGAGTTCCACACGTCATCCAACCTATTGGAGAGGATGAAGAAAAACCTACAAATGATAATGAACCTATCCCAGGTGGTGGTAGTATTGTATTTGGTGCAGGCGAAGGTGGATTGGCTATTGATTCTGAAGAACATTCTCCTCCAGCAGCTTCAGATGATTCAACCTTTGCTTCTCCTACCCAAACACAAACAACTTGCAAAGATATCCACATAGAGGTTATGGCTGTTGTTCCTAAAGATGTGTACCAATTGTATGAATCTTTCATTCCTCATAATCTTATCTAATTATTTAATGTTAATAATCACTATTAAAAAAATATTTTAGTTTCTACACTCGAGAAAGAGAAGCGGGCAGACCTCACGATTTTGAAATTATTAAAAGACTTCTTCAACTTCATTACGCAGAAATTTTTAACGATGCAGATGTTGTTTACAAGAGTATTGACGCCAGACGATGGGGAATTTGTGTCACTTTGTGGCTATCCAATTTAAAGTTTTTAGTGGTAAATAACTAGTCAAAAATCTTTTAATGGAAGTTTTGTGTATACCTATGACGGAATTTCTTTTTAATTTATTAGGAAAATTCTCAAGATGCCGCTCTCTACAGAGGTTCTTACCTTGCTAGAGGAACTAGTTACGAAACTGATGTTGTAGATTCAGATACAATTCTTGATAATCTTGGAGAATGGAAAGTACGTCAAAGCTATGGCTGGTATAAGATGGACGTTATTGTATTATTTACAAAGTATAAAGTTTTGATTTTTTTTATTATATTTTATACAAGATTTAGAATATTTAACATTTGTGCTTTTATTACAAAATATTAGACGAAATTTGGCTAGAAAAGATCAATCTGCTGCAGGATACTCAGACGTCATAATAGGTAAAGCTTGAATTATAATAGTTTTTTAAGTACAAAACTACTAATATACACATCACAGGAACGGCCAGATGGAATGGTGTTTGCAAATTTGGAAAAGAGGGAGGTTTAGCTGTCATTGAAGATATAGGAAGCGCCTCCTGGTGGCCACTTGCACATGAAGTTGCTCATGTCATAGGAGCTGTTCATGATGGATCGGATTCTGCTGTGTCATGCGCAAATGATCAAATGAACATCATGGCTCCCGTTCTGAGAACCAGAACACCAAGTCAATATGAAAAAGCCTATAAATTTTCGGATTGTTCAATTAGAGATATTAAGAGATTAGTAACTGGAGAAGCAGATAAATATAAAAGAACTTGTTTAGCAAATAAAAACTGTGTTTCGTTTAATAAACAAGAAGTCGGAACACTGGATCCAAGCCTTGGAGACAATTTCAGAACTAAAGAATATGATCTCTCCATAACAGAGCAATGCAAAGCAAGATTTACCTTATCTCATGGAGCCTGCGTAAGTAGACGTATTTTTCTCATTTAAGCTCTTCAACAAGTTGATTCTTGGTCTATATTACACATATGTATTATTAGTAAAAGACATATACAGTAACATACTCTACTGTAGGATAAGCAAAATTGTGTATTTAAATAGAATTCTAGGATAGTGGATATTATGTATTATGTCATTGAACAAGTATAAAATGTGTAGATTATACTCTGTGTGCATGTACTTATTGATATATATATATATACTTTATATATACTCATTGTACTTTTATACATGGGAATATAAGCTTTATGCTCAAATAAAGCATTTGAGAGGAGTTAGTTCACATATGCACTATGCTGCTTACTTCTTGATATACCTACCTACATGTAATATCTTTGTTCCTCTCATCTCTCTTTAATTATCAAGTTTTTTAATTAGTTCTTTTTGCCGAGAGATCTCGCATTATCTCCAACTTTTTAAAGATATAATAAAGAAAAAGTGAATAAAAGATCTCTGTTAAAATGACGTTATGCTTTCATATAACTATCTAGATCAGTTAAATGAAATTTAGATCAGGTTATATACTCTCCACTTTTCTAATTATATGAAATTTCTTTTCAGCCTGAAAGTCAGAGACCATGGGCAGTAGACATCTGTAGTCACCTTTACTGTTCAGTACCGACTGATGACCCTAAAGTAAGCAAATGTGTTGTGCATAAACTTGGAGCTGCTGATAGGACACCATGCGGTACTCTCGGTAACAGATGGTGCTACAAAGGAGTTTGCATAGATAAAAGTGAAACACCTTCCGGTAAGTCACAAAAAATATGGAAGGTAAAAAATGTAAAAGAATTTCAACTTTGTTTCAACAGCTGAGGAAATAGGAGTTTGTAAATCGTTGCAATTACCTCTAGGAGAAGGTAACATAGAAGCTATTAATTGTTTTTTCTCAAATATACATTAATCATTATTTTTCATCACATATTTATAGAATGCACTACTAGCGATGTCGGCAATGATTGTTCAGGATCTGTTATAAAAACCCCCTATCGCTGTCAGACTTCAATTTTTAAGCCACTTTGTTGTAATAGTTGTAGAAGATATAATCTGTTAGGGGATTTTTACGGTAAATGATATCAATATTAACTCTCATTTGATAGAATGTAAAAACTAGATTTTTTCAATATCTACTATAGATGTAAAGCTTACGCAAGAAACAACAAGTAAGATTATCTAATTTTTATTTTCTTGAAGTTAACCTAATATCTTTTTTATTTAAATTACTAGAATGTAAAGATACAGATACAAATTGCCCAAATCTTGTTAAGAAGTATACCTGCGATTTGATAAAGGATCTTTGTCCTGTTACCTGTAACGCTTGTCGTAAGTTTAAAAGCAATAAGATTCTTTCTGTAATTTCTAACATCATTATATTTTAGCTACCTCTACTATTAGCCCTACAGCTAACCCTTTTTCTACTCCCGTTCCCACTACTGTCGGACCGAAATGTAAAATTTAATTATATATTAATATTAGTATATCGGAATTATAATTTATCTTATACTCTTTTACTTAAAGATACCCATCGACCTGGCCCATGCAATCCCAACCCATGCCAAAACAACGCTGAATGTTTGGAATCTGTTGGAGGTGGATACTTTTGCGATTGCCCTCGAGGATATGACGGATACGATTGTCAAATTTGTAAGAGTACTTTTCGCTAAATTTAATTCATTCATTCTTTTCGAACGATTATAAAAATATTTTTAAATTAAACATTATATGCAGTGTATTGTTATTACAACTATTTCTTTAATATTACGCTTAAGAGCATTTTCACTAAAAAAGAAAGAATTTTGAATAACAGATAAATAACTATTTGTTTATTCACCTTTCAGCGATGTTTGAAAATGGATGTAGAGATGACTCTGTATTATGTAAAAGAGAGCAAAGAAGTTACCTGTGTGAAGATAAAGTAAGAAGACTTCAGTGCCGTTTAACTTGCAGCTTATGCTCCCTCGATTCCCAAATTGGACCAGGTAATAAAATATACAGTATATGTATATACTGTACATAATAAAGAAAACAAATAAATAACACTATGCTTTCATTAGTTTGTGCTGATGCACCTACCATTGCTGGACTCGATTGTAATAAAATAGTATCCGATAATTGCGATTCCTGTACGGCTGGAACCTTCTATAGAAGCCAATGTTGTAAATCCTGTCAAGATTTGACAGGAACTATGTATTTTGGAGCAAATAGTTGCATTGATCCATAAAGTAAGCTACTAAAGTAACTATAAATATCATCAATTTGCTAAGATTTATGATTAAATTACAGACATCACCTTTTAATCCATTCATTCGTTATTTTGCAGTTTTGAGATAGACCAAAGTAAATTACCCGGAACGCGATTTCTTTTTTATTCTTATCATTGATTATATATGAATCTACTAGACAAAAAATAGAAATACTATATCCGTGCCATATATAAATATAAATGATGAAAAAAGACATAAAAATATTGTATATATATATATGAATATGTATATTTATATACAATTTATACAATATACTGCGTACATATGTAACGTATGTAAAATGTTTTGTTGTCTTTTTGAGAGATATGTAAATATCTTTCAATTAACCAAAGATTGGGCTCATTAAAAGCTATATTTGTGATAATATATTTTTGTACAGAGGTCAAAGTAACTGATATAAAGTACTAATAATTTCATTTGTTGCAATTTTTTTTAATAGTTAAAATCGTGGAAAGAAGTTTGTTAAAATTACTTCAATAGTTAAATATATAAACATTTATAATGCTTTGACCATGATTTTGAAACAGTTTTCAATGATTTATTTTGGTTTTTTTTCTTATATTTATATATGATATGCATTTAGATTCATTTATACAGAAAGAGAAAGAATTTACTTTTTCAATAAACGTACAATAGTTATTAAACTTAACAATTGTCGATTTCTATTTATTTACAAATCTAGCGTGTATTGCATATATTATCTTTATATAAAATATCATTTACTTGTATATTTACAACTACAGTACTATTTGATATCATTAAATCGTTCATCTTGTTAAACAAGAGAGTGTGGGGTAATTTTAAAAGTCCTTTGACAGTTCACTGACTCGTCCCTATTATCAATTCCTAAGATTGAATCATAATATATAGCGTTGTTCAGTTATAGTCTGTTACAGTAGTATAAAAATAGCTTTTTTAATATTTTTACTATTATTATTGTATTACCACGAGTATCCTTTAAAATAAATATGAACGAATAATAATTTTTTCCCCTTGTGCTGCCATCTGTATGGAGTTACTGCCATGATGGATTGATGATTTTTTATTGATCGAAATTTTTAAGTTAAAAGGCCTAAAAAGAAAATCGTGTTCACCTTAATTTCAGTATTGAAAGAATAATGAAAAAATTATAATTTACAACAGGAATGAGATATAGATAGAGATAGATAGATAGATAGATAGATAGACAGCAGACAGGCAGAGGCAGAAAACAATGTTTCAAAGCTGGTAAATTGAATTCGACGGATTCAAAAGCTTTTCTAAGCTAGATAGAAAATTGTTTACATTTGATAGTAATTAATTTCGATAGGCTGTATAGAACCTTGACTTTTTGAGAGTAAATATTAATAAATGAAAAAATATCACATACAGATTTCCATATTCTTTCTGTAGTTTACAGTATGTACGATATAAACAATATACAGAATATATATATATATATATGAAAAAATCTGCGTCGCGAATAAAGAGAGAATTATTTCACGTCGGAAGGACTTTAGTATTGTTTGCTTTGGATGACTTTTCCCATCAAAAGAGGTCCGAAAAGTCTAATATAAATGCAACTCTTATTTACAAAACCAATACGTTGTATTTCTATACTTTATAACAGAAATCTAATGCACCGACATTGAGACTCCAAAACATACCTCATTTTAAACCGAAGTAAAAGGCAGTTCTTTTAAACTTATGTACTTTATAAATAGTATTTCTTTTAATCCTGTTCATACTAGATGATAAATAACCAGATTTATTAAACATTTATATTTCTCAAGGTCTTTATAGATATATGAATATATATTTATATATATAAAGATATTAAATATCATAAAAACAATCTTTATTCTTCAACTTATTAATTTACAATTTATCAAATTTTCATTTCCAAATTTCTCTTCTGTCCATCCTTTCTTCCTTCCTCCAATTCTTTTTCTAGGGTAAAGATAGCTATTTATAGAAGTTCTGTGCAACATAATTAAATTGAATAAAATCTTTAAAGTCTTTCTCTTTTTTGTTAGATTCTATTTGTTTCAATACAAGAAAAATAAAGAAACACATCCAAATAAATTTTCTTAATTAATTATCTCATTTGACTAGAATTTCCTTAATGAAATAATTAACTGATAAAGTCATTGATTAATTGATTTTAATATAAAAGTTTTCCAATAAAACTTATGTTAAAAATTGTAACTAGTAATAATTTTCAATTGATATTTAATACTAAGCTAGCTTAAAATGTAATAAGACACTTTGATAAATATTATAGAATTAGCAATTTCCATTACTTTTTATTAAATTTAAATACAGAGAGATTCCAATACTGCATGTACAGTTCATGTATAGTTTGTAAATGGAATATGCTAATAAACAAGACTTAGGCAGTATATATATATATATAAAATAGATATTGTTTTTTTAATTTCCCTTGTTTATTTAAATACAATAATAAAGGTTTTATTAATGGAAAATTCTTATAGGTTATTCAATTAAAAAGTTCTTTTAGCTGTTTCCCTCTCATTCAAAAGAATAAATTCAACTTTCTCTTATTTAATGTTGATAATAAAGTTCTAAAATACTTTAAATGATTTATATTCTCATATAAGAAAATTAAGTATAAAATACTTATCAAGTTATGATAATACTTTATAGCAGTTCTATCTATTGTATTGATGGCATTAAATAGGTTTTAAACAATACATTAATATATAAACATATATACAACTATATACAACTGCATATATTGAATACATGCAATAATGTTTCAACTAAAGCTTTTATCAACATGAAGAGCTAAAAATATGAGTCACGTTTGCAAATACATTTGGGTTATTGGGATGATGGCCAACGCGAAATATGTGCAAATAAAATGTAATCCATCACTAGAAATGTTTTTTTTTATACCCCCGCAAAATAAGAGCAAAAGTTAAAGCCAGAGGAATAGTGGGCTGGAGAGAGAGCATTGATAGAAACATAACGCTCCGAAGAGACAGAAAGAGAGAGAGAGAGAGAGAGAGAGAGAAGAGACAGAGACAGAGAGAGGCAGAGAGACAGAGACAGAGAAAACAAAAAGCCAAAGAGAACGAGGGGAGAGACTGAAAGAGGGAAAGACAGTAGGACAAAAGTGAATGAATAAGAAAGGGAGGAGGTATAGAGAAAGATAGAGTGAGAGGTAAAGGTTGGGGCAAGGACAGCCTGGAAGCGTAGAGACACTAGGACACCGACGTAATCTGAGACATAAACAAGCAAGAGAGTGACTGGTAAGCAGATACTGTAAAAGAGACAACGTCAAAAGTGAGTAAGAATATAATTATTACTCTTAAGTATAAATTGATAGAAATTTATAGATAAATCTTTAATGATCAGTTAGCTATCGGTTATTTTCTAAGCCACGTCTTACTACAACTAGCCTCCTAATCGAATTATAATTACGTAGATTTTACACGATGGCTATAACTATCGTCTTCTCTAATTCTTTAACATTGTAAACATTTACAAGTAATGAATGACATGTAATTATGTAAATAATTGTTCTTTTTCATATTTTTAGGCCTAGATAATTTATGCGTTGACCGAAAGACGAATTAAAGAGTTGCCCGCTCTGTCGCTTTGCAACGGCTAATTTCACAGTTTGCAAAGTCTGAAAGCAATCTAGACGGCTTCATCCATTTGCCTTGTTGGCTTTAGAATATGCAAGACAATTGTGACTGCAACGTTCGACTATATCTACAAAGAGATTCCACGGCTAATTATGGCAGTGCGGCAAACTTTGCAAAATATGAAGGTTTGTCTCGATAAATGATAGCTTTTTCATTGTCAATTTAATCTAGTCTTTATTTTGTTAAGGATCATTTTTCAGTTTTCAATCGCTTTGAGCGTCTTTCCTGTCTATCCAAAACATAAAGAGCCTTGTAAGTTCTCTCCCCTAACTTCACGTTAGATTAACTTTAAAAGTTATTTATTGAAAAATAATTACTTCTGAGTAGCCATTAGACGATACTCCTTACTAAAACATTCTTATCTTTCCCTCTTTTTCCCCACATAACGATTCCCTTTTGAGCTTTTCTATCTCAACTTTTATCGATGACTTAATAAAATCGATTCGTATAGAATAAAGTTATTTGACTATGAAATTCCCTGACATTAACAGAATATGATTTCTGTTGTTGCTAAGTATTCCTTTTATATTGCCAATATTTCATTTTGAATACACTTTGCAGTGCAATATTTACAAATAATTTTCAAGAACAAAAACTTTTCTTAAGGGATTGTAAAAATGCATTAAATTGGTGATTTGTAGCTTTCAACAGATGCCAAAACAAAGTAACAAAGTAAATTGTTTAAAATTCTTGTTGTATAATTTCGAAGAGTAAAAATGTGCAATTAGCATGAAAAATGAAAGTAAACATAAGAGTTTAATAATAAGTTAAGAAAAAGTCATCTTTTTTACTATAAATGACAAAAATATGAAAATAAAAAAATATTGTGTATTTTTTTTATTCTAGCGCCATCTCTCTTCCGAGTTATCCATTAATGCAATTTTCCGTAATGGTATTCATGTCTGGCAACCTAAGCAGGGATTCTCAATGGAACGAACTTTTTACAATTATCCCATACACATTTCTTTATTCTTCTTTTTAAATTAGATTAATTACCCACCATTGATAATTAGTTAAATATAATACAAAAATATATTATTATAACAATCTAGAGTTAATTCGTTAATTATTAAAATTAAAACTGACGTAGATTTAGAATATTTTTCGATTAGAAAAAGTGGTATTTTTTTGAGATGGGATAAATATATGCAGTAGATTCCCATGATACGAGCTTACTTTCCTATTGATATCGCGGCAGTTCGGATTCTGCTCTGCTTTATCGTGTTTAGCATGGAATCTTGCTACGTGAAAAGAAAACTCCAACTACCTCTAAAAAATGATTATAATATGATATCCCCAATAACCGGTTCGTTTTCCTATGAATTTTTTACCTTATAAACATTTCAGGAACTTTATATAATTATTATTAGTAACTGGTATGTTATTTTTTTTATATAAACATCATCATTTTTATTGACAATGATCGATACTCCGTCTCCAAGGGTTGTCCTATCTTAAATTTAATATGTTTTTATTTGTTTTTCTTTAAATATTCTATATATTTAGAAGAATTGTATACGAAGGTTACCTTGTTCATTTAATTAATTAAAGTAATATATATTTTGGAAAACTTAATAAGAAGAAATGGCTAAAGTATTAGAATCTTTATAATACAATTTTTTTTCTCTATTTCCTAGAAAATCAAACTCCGACGAAGCAAACCTTCTCTAAAGCTGATGAAAAAACTGATGATACAAATTTTCAACCGTTAAAAGTTGCTCTCAAACCAATCATTCCTCCAGAAAAGAAGAGAACAACACAGGGTAACGAAGATGGTCATCCCACTTGCTGTTCTTGTTATTTGTTATTCATCTTATATTTAATAATTTGTCATGAGGCTTTGCTAATGTATTCCCAAGTAAGTTATAACATTTTCAATTAGAGACTATATTAACTTTCTATAAAACTTTCATTTAAGAACAAAAAAAAACACAGAATATCTCCTTATCATCCCCTAGAGACTCCATAAATATGAAGTCTATTTATCCCAGATGTACAGTACATCTTTCTTTATAAATAGATACATATATATTTGTATCTTTCAACCTATTTTCATTACATACACTATATTATATAGAGTTCGTTAAATACTATTTTTCTCTTGTTCATTCACCTGCTTTCTTTTTATTACATAACTTTGTTGAAAAATGAAAATAATAGTCTAATGATATTTAATTATTTTTAGTGGAAAGTCTTGCACGAGTTATACTCTGGTGTCTATAATTTATGGTTGGTGACCGCTCAAGGTTTACCGACCATAGCAACAGTTCTTATCCTACTTCCCGCCACATTTCGAAGAGACCGAAGTCCGAAAAAGAGAAGAATAAGAATTCTCTTGTGAGTAATATCTAAAAAAAGACATGAACTTTCTGTTTTTGCGGATTATTTATCTATATTGAGATCAAATTTTCAATTTTTTTCTATAGTTACTTGAGTAACATTCTCTACGCGACCCAACTATCAATTTATTGTTGGATCGATATTCGCCTGATGGTTGGTAGTTATCCTTCGGCTCTTAATGCTACTTGCGAATGCACTAAGCTTTCTCAAGCCCTTCCGGAAGGATCTTTTCTTCTACCGCATCTAAAGACAGTTGAGAAAGAGAATGAGCACTTTTGCGATTGCTTAGTTCCGCTACACGATCAATTTATTTACTCTTTCATTGTCCTACGTAAACATCATGATGAAGTTAGAAGGAATTTACTGAAAGCCGGCGTTAATTTTACCGATCATGTAAGCTTCGTTCCTAAACGGAATGGACTTAATAAAAAGGTATTAAAGGATAAAGGAAGTACAAGAGTTGTAAGTATCTTTCAATCCTGCACCATTGGTTTTCATTATTCTCAAAAGAGAAATTAAATTAATATGAAAATTTATTCAAAAAAGTTAAATAAATTATTTAAATATTTATGACTTTCTCTACAGATGCTAACCCTATTACAAATAGCTATAATACCACTAACTCTTGTTTGGCCCGCTTTAATGTTGGACGATATTGAGGAATTAACTGCCGATAATTTAAAGACGTCCTTAGAATTAGCTATGCACGCTCTTCTCTCATTTGTTGATGTTTTTCAATTCTTTAATGAATTCTTGGATAAGCCATTTTACTTTGTCGATCATAATCATTTAACCAATTGTATACTCGTTGTCATAAGTCTATCTTTAATTGGATCAACCATTCTTCAATGCTTACTAGGCCTTGACTATCTCTACGAATTTCATACAGCCGAAAGTGACGTTAACGCTGATAAGATTGGAGTTATCTATGGAAAATTATACCTTGCTGCTTTCTATAATTTTCCTTATTTAATAATAAGGGCCGTATTGATTGATATGTACAATGGGAAGTCGGCTATTGGATTTTTGATGATGGCAAAAGAGATTACCGTTATTATTATAAGTTACGTGGATTTCTGTACAGCTGGAGTCGATGTTAGAAGAGATTTCGCAAGATTATCATATAGAAAAAAGAGAAAGCATAAGAAAGAGAATGTTGTTCAGGTTTTTCAATATGAACAAGTGAAAGAAGATGAACAAGTTAGAGTAGAAATAAATAGAAGCACTGATGAACCAGAAGAAAAGAATGAAGAAGAGAAGCAGTAGCTTAAGCTTTTTTCACTGTGTGAAATGAATTTCCTTCACTTACAAATCCTTTTTTCTTCACTCTATCTTAAAATCTACTGCATTTCTCTCTTCTTTCATATTTGTAAATTATTTCAAAAATTTTTCTTGTTTTTTGTATATTTCACTGAGTTGTCATCTATAAACTTAGAAGGAGAAAAAAAGAAGAAAAAAGGGAGATAAAAAAATAGGAAAAGTGTGTAAAATGTACATTTAAATCTATCATCATCTTATTTACTTGTCTATCCAATAAACACCTGATAAATGTACACTTAAACATTCAGAAAACGAAAGGAAAGTATTACATTTTAAATTATACACTTCTAATAATAAAATATTTAGGGGGAAAATCATCTAAGATTGTGGAAAAGATTTCAAATTGACTACATATTTATGGAGATGCATTTGTATCTTTCTCCTTTAAATTATTAATCAATTAATTCGTTTTTTATATAAATAATAGCAATTATATTAGTTTCAACGACTAAATTCGGAGTAGAAACTAGCCAAAAGCAAAAAAAAACAAAAACGATTCTTTATATCATTCCTAATACTAGTGAAATACGGTATTTTCAAATTGTTGAAAGAAGTTACTAAATATGTTTTAAGGAAAATTTGATAGGAGATCATCTTCATCTAATGAAAATATTTAATACCATGAAATATATATTTTATTTACTTTAATTTGTCTTAATATCAGTAGAATATTAATTTTGTGTTTCACACCAATATCTCCCCAAGAAATTTCGAGCAATTAATCTGTCTAGAAATATTACAAACCGTCAAGAACGACAGAGCATACGATTAGCAGCTTATTGAATATTCATATTATTTTAATTAATTATTCTTCTTAGAGGCAGAATAAGTATTTACTACTATTAATGTAATTAGCATTGTCCGAACCTTTACGAAAATTGAATTTTACGTCAATTAAATTTGAAAAAGTCAAAGAAAAACTCTATTAGGGAAAAGCTGGTATAGTTTAAAGCCATTATCCTCTCCTTCAAACACAAACTATCTTATTAAACCAAACTTTCCTAATGCTGTTCGACTAGTAATACTTCTGATGTATTATACGTAGAATTGAACAACAATTTACTTTGGATTATATTTTTTAAATACGAAATGATGACATCCAAAGTCACTGCGATCAATTAAAGCAAAACGATTATCAAGTTAATTATTAAAGGTGATATTGTTAAAAAAGGTATAGATGCACGTTATACGTTAAAGATGTTAAAGGAGCTAGCTTCGATATTTCATTTTAGAAGCCAAGTACTTTATCAAAGTATATTCATATTATAAATATAATATAACAATTTTTCTGTAAATTATTAATCTACAAAATTAGTTGAGCATTGATTTAGGAAAAAAGTTGGTCTTGGAAGAGAGATATGACAAGGACAGATTGGTGGTAACTGCATTTCTTTAATGTAAATATATAAAAGTATATGTAAGTAGAGGATATTTGAATTTATCAAAAGAACTAACATCAGTCATAATATTAGACAGCTCTAAAGGATCTAATATTGTTATATGAAGTGGATAATAGCGGATATAAGTTATTAACTTTTCCCTCAATTGATTATAAAACAACAAATTCCAAACTTATTAACACAGAATAGTCTCTTTGGATTATGGTATTTCATTGTTTCAAAAGTGAGGCTAAAGCGACTTATATGAAATATAACTTGATATATTTAATTAAAGCCACATTATTACATTTATTATTTTTCCTCAAAAATAGAACCACTTTTAGCATCATTCCTTGCTTTCCCTTCATCATCTACAAACAAAGATGAAGATTAATATTCTTTTATTACAGATTACGGCGGAGAAAGACAAACAATAAATCCAATGATGGAAATACGCTTTTTATTTATTATGCTCAAGATACCATCAATGTAATTAACGACGTAATTGAATATATCTTAAAGAAATCTGGCTTTAAAAGACATGATCAGGATTTAGATTTTTTGATTAGATCACAGAGTTTAACTCACAGTCAAAATGTTGTTTCGACAAAATTTTTTGTTTTCTACTACTGCTGAGTAGTCTAATTGAAACTCTTCAACACGTTTATCGCCTTTAACAGTGGTGAAATCAAATATGTTAATTTTTTCGCAGAGAGTTCATTACTTGCTGTTAGAACAGCATGTTGCAAAGCCAAATTTGCTAATTCTAGCTCATTTGATCTAATTACTCTTCTTAATCTTTATATAAATATATATTCAAATGCTTATTTAATTCTACACATACCATATATTTTTTATGAATTCAAATCAAGCATTTTACATAATTTAACATTGAATTGATGTTCTCAATAAGAGATAGATGGCGTTATATACATAGAGAACATTATATTTTCACAAATATTTAACATTAAAATAGGTCACCAATTTCTTTTAGTAATACGATAAACATGAGCTTACACACAAATTGGAGGGATTGTAAGGTAAGATTTTAGCATTAAACTGATTTTAATTCAACAAAAAAATCTTGATTAGAGAATTTAGAATTGTAGAAGCCAACAAAAGACAATCAATTGTAATTCAAGGTCAAAGTTTAAAAATACGTGATCTGATAAATAGAAAATCACAGAGGTCCTAAAATTTGCAAATTTCTGGCGCCAAATCCTATTTAATAGCTAAGAGGATAAACAATTTTTAAAAATATTGTTATTGTAGCTCAATAAGCTATAAAAGAGAAAGATATATTTTCATTAGGCATTCTTCTATTCAAAAATAGATAAAATATAAAAAATAGTTTAGAAAAAATATGCTATTTTTAGGAATTGAAAGAACATTTTCCAATATCAACGACCAGCAATGAAGCTGCTAAACTATTCGACGCCGTTGTCACTCAGGTATGACCTATTACATAACACATATAATATTACATAATGGTATTATGTAATCCTATTCACCACAGTATGTCGGCTGGTACAATGATCCTTCTGTTGGAGGTTTGGATAATTGTTTAGACAAATTGCTGTCTGCAGATGAAGTATTTCGTAAGTGATCCTTGCGTATCAACTACGATATACACTGTACTTGTATATTTTGCTGTACTCTTCCATTCTACACTAGAAACCTTTCTATCCCTTAAATTATTATTATTTCACTCGACAGCTATGTCCCATGTTCTCCTAAATGGCCTTGAGATAATGTCTACTGGAAGTCATCCTAAGTATAATGAAAATTTAAGGAAGTCATTACTGTTGATGAACGAGACTGTTGGTGGGAAGACGCTTAACAATTGGGAAGAGCGTCATATTAAAGCGATTAATCAATGCGCATCTGGATCTATGAAAACGGCCTGCGATATTTGGGATGATATTTTAATAGATTATCCCAATGATATTCTCGCTTTGAAATTTGCGCATGATTCATACTTTTATCTTGGTTATCAGAGGAAAATGAGAGATTCAGTAGCCAGAGTATTTCCTTCTTGGAATAAAAGTATTCCTCTCTATGGGTAACAAAAAAAACAAGACACTTTAAATGATAAACCATTGTTACAATGTTTCTCTTCTCAAGGTATTTACACGGGATGTTGGCGTTCGGACTGTGTGAAACTAATTTATATGCGGACGCTGAAAAATCCGCCAAGACCGCTTTGTCAATAAATTCTAAAGATGCTTGGGCTACTCATGCTCTTGCTCACGTTCTAGAGATGACTGGGCGACAGATTGAAGGCATAAGTTTTATGAGTTCAACAGTAACTGATTGGTCGGTTAGTTTAAAAGAATTCAAATGATAAAAATTTTAAATATAATTAAAAATAAATTCTAATCTATTTAATATCTTCTTTATTTATAGTTTTGCGGTATGTTATCTTGTCACAATTTTTGGCATTGGGCTGTTTATCACATAGAAAAGGTAAATTTTTCTTGACATACAACGAGGAATATGTGGTAAATTATTTATAAATTTGCTTTAAAAAGTGACAATTTGTTTTCCCCTTTCTCTTAATCTTGTATTTTTAATTGATATAATAACGAAATTTTTGTAATAACTACGCCATCTATAGGATACTATAAAGTAAAATTTGATTTGTTAATTATTTACGTAATTTAGGGAGAATATCAAGCAGCATTGGATATTTATGATTCAGCTGTTGGTACAGCATCAATTAAATCTGGGACAATGCTAGATATTGTCGACGCTTGTTCACTATTATACAGATTAGAGTTAGAAGGACAAAAAGTGGGAAAACGATGGGAGGAATTATTTGAAACGTGTTATAAGCACTATGGCGACCATACTTTAGCATTTAATGACTCCCATTTATTCATGTGCTATTCTGCGAATAAAGAAAAAGACGTTGCAAAGGATTTCTTAACATCATTGCAGAACTTCTTAACGTTCGTTGTAATAGTCACATTATTATTCCAATTTCCTATTAATTACTCATCTTATTTCTTTTCTTGTCTATTTTTATTCTACTGATGAATTTTAGCGAGAATCCAGAAGACTACCAAGGCAAATGCATTCGAAAAGTCGGACTAAATGTTTGTAAAGCAATTGATTCGTTCGACAACGGAAATTTTGAAGATGCAGTTAACTTCTTACTTCCGATCAGATATGATATCATTAAAATAGGCGGAAGTAATGCTCAAGTAATTCCAATACATTCTCTAAGATAAATAATTGATCAATTTTATGTAATCTATTATAGAGGGACGTCTTTAATCTGTTACTGATTAATAGCGCGCTCAAGTCTGAAAACGTTCATCACAGGTTAATGGCAAGGTATGGAGCTATTGTATTTGGTTTAGATTCTGTATAATGATTTAACACTAAAACAAATACTTAAATATAAATTATATAACATAATATAAAGCACTTTTTTCTCCTCTTTTGTTTAGACAATTACTAAACGAGCGTAAGGCGTTGAAAGAATCTTCTCCCATGACTGATAGGCTGTTTAGACGGGTATTCTCTTCGCATCAAGACTAATTTCTCTATTACTTACAGATTTACTAAAAAGCTTGATGAAAAGACTTTAATGATTTACTCTAATTGATCATAGTTAAAATACTTTTAGTAAATTGCATGCAAATATTTACTAAATGAGAGTCAATTAATTACATATCTCAACAACTAATTATAGTCTCCTTGAAAGGAAAGAAGCTTTGAATTAATAAACTTTATTCATACGTCAAATCTGCCTGACTATTCTTATTAGAGTAATAAGACGAGATTTTTTAGAAAAGGAAACTGCTTCTTGTCTGCATTCACAGCCATCTGGTAAATCTACACTACCTCAAATCTGCGAATCAGATGGATGATATTCTCTTACTTTCTCTTTCCATTCGACAACTTACCTAACTTATTAAAGCAAGAACCAAACAAAAAAAAGAATGTAAGTTGAGAATCAGATAGAGAGAATGAAATAAAAGAAAGTGAGATAGAAAAAGAGATAGATAGATGTGTAGGAAAGATAGAAAAGGAGTAAAACGAGCGGAATTAGGAGGAAAAGTTAATTATAAAGAGTCTTTTAGATATCCTTATAGGCGATTCACATATTCATTTATAATCCTAATACATTTTTCATTATCCAGCATATCCTTCAGCCTCCACTAAGTTATTGATAGGGGCAACAAATTTTTTAACCTTAATAAAAGTAATGCATCCTTTTACAAGCTTTACTTTTTAAAACATCTTAGTTTTCAGAGGATTCTGTTCTATTTAATTCAAGTTGAAATTGAAAACTTTTAAGTCCATTCTATTTTCGAAATTTCGCCTTTTAGCAATGAATCACCTACTTTTAACTTTCTATCAATCTCTTCCGGAAAAAAGAAAGTCATTCTTGAGTAAACAAACTTCCCAATTTCAATAGAAAGCTAAATATATAGATATATACTTGCCTAGATTTTATTATGTAAATTATTTCATTATTCAGCTCACTAATATAAGAATAATAAGAAGGTTTCGTCTCCCTTTTTCTCAATTCTCGTCAGCCTGCCCTTTCTCTACTATAAATTTCCAACCTATTAACAGATAAAGATCGGCAAAATTCCAATTATCTTAAAACTTTAAGACTGTAAAAGATTGTATATCTAATGAATTTATCAACGAGAATTGTCTTTCTACTTCCACTTAATTTGCTTTTTCTTTTCCTACGTTAATTCAATAAAAGCAAATGTAATCGGATACGTTTCAATGAAAGAGGGTATAGAGGATATTCTGCCTAATTTATTGATTATTACTATATACGTTAGAGAAAACGATAAGAGAATGATAAATGGTCATGCGTGAAAGATTTATTATATTTCTAATTTTTTCCTTTAGACTAGCTGCGATAGGCGTAATTATTCAGCAATGTAGAAAGAATATTACCGAAACAGACAAAAATATAGGCAATCTATTATATTCGCTTATGCCTATAGAACGTAATTACTGAGATTACGATTTGTTTCGTTCTCATGAGTTTCTTCTTTGTTTACTGATGACAGGATTTCTTAGATAGATAGTTTTCATTGCTGACTCCAGTTAATTCATTGTGCTGACCCTAAAAGGATTTTTTTTTGGCTCCAAGTATCTGGTTTTAGTTTAATAGACTATATTACTATTGTCAATTTTGAAATATATAGTATCAATAAATGAGTTAAATATTTCGCCCCTATGAACAAAATTTACATACAAACCAGCAGTTGTGCCAAAATATGAATATTTGGAAGCACTTATGGACATTTAAAAAAATATCAATTAGATATTCAGAGTGCACAAGTGACTTTATTTTAAGAATGACCTTGCCTCCCTAAAAATAACTTTATTAGTAGTGTTAACTGTCTTCAAAGCTAATCGTACTAATTGGTAATTGATAATGTTTAAAAGCCCATCAAGTCATAAATTAAAAAAATACTTTGAATAATACAGAAATTCGAGTATATAGTAGTGAATTCTTCAGCATACTACTTATTAAAAAAGCATAAAATCTCTTGCAATAATATAATTTTATCATCTGCCGCTAATTATTATATTGCTATTTCTTATATTATTGCAATATAATATTAATAATATATATATATATATATATATATATATATATATATATATCTTTGTATTAGACAAACAGGTAATAATTTTTAAATAGATCTAAACCTGACCGAAATAACTATGGCTCAAATAGACAGATAATTTCCTGCAATTTACAACAAATAGCTAATCATTGTACTAGATAATTGTTTAATCTGTATCAGAGCTATAGTTTTTGGGATGTCGAATAATTAAATACAATTTTTATTGTCTGATTTAAATGTAATATTTCACTTGAAATCCATACTATCGACTTCACAAGCTTTTCCAAGGCTTTTTACTTATGTTTCTTATTAAAAAAGTACAGCGACATCTTTCGACCACAAATGTCATCTACCACTCAACATTCTTTAGTTTCCTTTTGTCGTCTTTTAGATAGACGAAAGTATTTTTGATTTTTTATAAAATTATAGAATTTACAACTAAAAAGGGTGAAATAAATAGATTCTAAATAGAATTCTGGTGAGATTGATATATAAAAAAGGTAATTTGCAAAGGATAGATTTATGTTAGAGTAAATAAAATATACGTATAGTTTAACAAAAGCGCAGTGGACCACAAAACTAAACTAGACTTAACAAAAATTTCCCCATTCAAAAATATTATATATAAAGTATGAGAAAAATTCATTGGCCAATAAACGGCCTATTTATTGTCACGTGATACTCAGGGCGGAGTCTTTATGGAATGCCTACCATTATTCCAACTCGTAAAACTATATGAATGAAAGATTTTTTCAATTCACCTTCTCCGATCGCTTATTGAAAATGTGATGGTAAGTTCAAATATTGATAATTTTCCGAATTGTTGTAAGTTCGTTTAAGGCTATAAGTAATATTCTATATGTCCAGTAAAAGTGACAAGTTGTGCCAAAGTCAAAAGACTAAACAATCTATAATTAATTTGTAATAGTATATTTTTTAATTCTCCATAACAATAGTTATTCATTTAATAGAGGTTATGTTTAGTTTCTTTTATAATGTATTTGTATGAGCTCTGTGCATTTATTAAAATTTAGAAAAACCAAGGCTTATCTATTTGAGTATGCAGAAATTGTTTAGGGAAAATTTTAAGAAATTTATATATATATATATATATATATATATATATATATATATATATGTATATATATTAGTATATATATAAATTTATATATATTCACCAAACAAACACTTCTATTATTTCTGAAGCTTATCTTAAAATATGACATATCAAGAGCTTGCCTACGGTAAAAGGCCTACTCACATATATTGATTAGAGTCTCATGTAACTATGCTTGGCATGCAGCATAAAAGCCTTAGGACATTGGTTTGTTTGAATTTTATGGTCATTCTGTGTACAAATGCTTGTCAGTTGGTCGACTAAGCTCTTGTTACGCAACATTACTACATTTATCTAATAGGAGAACGGAACGACTGAGTAGATTTTTGTCTATAAAGTTAAAAAAGAAGTAATTTTCACTATGTAAAATAAATCAATAGAAATGTACATTCAACAGTTGTGTTGAGTAGGTATATTGATTTAAATAAAATGCATATGTCAGCTTTTTGAAAACTATTGATTTTCTTTCCTTATTAAACATAATGTAGACTGAATTATACATGAACATATTTTTCATCAGTCTTTCTTTTTAAAAGAGCGTTCCAATTTGTTTATATTTTCTTAAGCATATATGCGTTAACGATTTAACCGAAAAAAGGTGTAGTATATTGCAAAATATAATTTTTTGTCTGATCAAGTACATCTGTGATTATTTCGTTTAGACAAAATCAATAAGATTAAATCTTTATTGTTGTATCTTTAAAGAAAAATTGGCTGTTTTATTAAGTTAGCCACCCTTTTCAACTATAGTTCATATAGTCACTTATATAAACGCCAATGTCTGAAAGTATTTATACTATTCGTTTTTGTATATTTATATTGGAATTTTGTATGTTGAATCATACCTCCTTATTTAAGAGAACATATTAAAGATCGAAAAATTGGTCTTAAAATAAATTAATGTTGTTACCTTCTGTTTATATATGTGCAGATACATACTGCATATATATATATATATATATACATTTATATACTGTATGTATGCATAAATTCAATTTGATCAATGATGAATTATATTCAATAAGTCACATTCTGTTTTATCATTTGTTTAACAAAATTATTTGCATTCCGTATCAATTTCAAACACTTTATTAGTCGGCATATTGTTGGCCTTAGTAACGCGAAGTCAATAGGATTAAGAAGTGTCACGTGATAAATGTTGGATAATATCTTTGGCTTTCAAAAGCAAACTAACATTTTTTTTCAATACCAAAAATACGCTTAATCTCTCTCTCTCTCTGCTTTTTTTATTCTATTGTTAATTCTATGGAATATTCGTATGACAATTAGAAGGAAAAGTTGAACAAATAAACAACCACTATTTTTAAAATTCATGGCATTCTTACATATAATATAAATAGTCATCGTGAACCTTAGTATTTCCTGTATGCCCTTATCTAAACCGGTATAAAACAATCAACTATAAATATAGATAATTGATTGTGAATTTACACTATAACAGGGTTAATTATAGTTTTTCACATCTAGTTATCAAAAATTATTCCTGTTTGTTATAATTTACCAATAGTACTTATTACTGCATTTCCTCTCTTTCATCGAGAAGACGTGCTAGTACATGACAAACTTCGTGATGTTTAAGAGTGCTGACATCTATTGCCCATAATTTACGTAATATATTGATATAGA